TCCAGCAGATGTGAGCATTATTTCTTAGGTATCTGTGGTCAAATACTAGTAGCTTACAAATATCTTCTACTCTTAATGACCACGTTTCAGCCATAAAGTAAAACAGAACGAACTGCCGCGCAGTATACTCGTCCCTTAATTGGCAGACGAATACTAAGCAATAGGAATAGCTGGGTCATAACCGTAAGAAAAGAGATTATAACACTCAGTCACCGAGTATTGATGACTCAGAACGTTATTGATATTAAAAAAAGTTGCATAAAGTTATGATTACAGAGACAATGGCTTTGACGTAGTTCGACTTTTAGGTTATCTAGTAACATCAACAATTATGTTGGTATAATACAAATGTTAGCTCATGTAATTATATTCTGTCAATAGAGACGTTTTATTTCGTCTGGAATTGTGGTAACCTAATTATAACTGATCAGCATTGGACCTAGCACAAATCTTCCTCAGCCCACTTTATCACACATCAGCACTGCGAAATAAGATGGAAAAGTAAACACTGAGACATTATAAGTATCAATGATAGTGAATAAGATTACACAGAATATGATTTGAGAAAAAATGAATTCCCGGAATAAAAAGCACAGAACAATTTTGAAGCTTAGAATCTGATGCTAAATAAGGTGTGAATGCATATATTTGCATCATTCCGGTCGAGTTTGATCAAGCTGTTCAATGTCTCCAACTATTGGTAACTATAATCATAAGAAATCCAAACATTTAGTTTCCATCACTGACTTTATACATGAGTGTCGTTTCTTACGTTGGCCGCTCTTAGTTTCTGTCCAACTTACTACGGTAGTCGAAATTTCGCACCGACAGTAATTAATTAGTTAGCCATCGTTATCTATATTTGATATCGTCATGATTGTATTACACTACCACAGATGCACTCAGTCATCTTTCATTCAATTCTAAAAATAAAATTACCCCAGTTTAATACGTTTCTTTGGTTTTTCATTAATATTTATATGATTATTGTTACTCCCTTGTTATCCTCCCGTTAGTTTAATTAAAGTATGATGTACACTTGTTATAAGTTATCTATTTATAAATGTAAATAAGCTCAAAATCTAGGTCAAAGGATCTCTGGCGATAGTTTAGCATTATAGAACATACAGGACGTATTATGATTTTGTGCCATATATTTAAGGGTAACCCTTTTTGGGTTGAGCTATTAAATTTTGACGAATGACCAACTTACAAGAGTAAAAATTCCGCCTCCAAATGCCCTGGTACGGCCGATATTGGGAAAAGTCAGCTCTGCTTCTCGAAATGCTCTCACATGGTCATGTGCATACAACCACTGCCAGGGAATTCCTACTCACCACCTCGTGGCAGGGATGCTTACGAAATTGAGAGGACGAAAAGTGAGTGTCCTGTGCTTCAGCCGGGTTGGTGGATATGGAGGATCCACCTAGGGGAGTTAGAAAGTCATAATTCCAAACCCATGCTGTGCATGGACTCCAGGATCCTGAGGGAACAAATGGCGTACGAACCTATTGTTGGTCACCGGCTACCATGAAACTGCATCACCTTACGTTGCTCTACTGCCTTGTAGATTAGACCTCCAAGTCAAATGCTCGGGTTGTGGCCCCCTAAGAAAACGTGCTTCGGTTCATGCACCCAGGGCAGTATCCCAGCCCTCACACAAATCAATTGGTTTATGTGACGCATATCTGTTTGGTGCCTCCTTGTAACGATGTTTGTGTTTAAATAAATAAATAAAATAAATTATAAATACAAATCATTTCATTTTATAACACCCTTCAGCTGAATGTCTTATATGAAAGTTTTCAAATTTGTGAACTCGTTTCAGATCATTTAAATTATTAATACAGTACTAAGCAGTAGATAATATGGAATAATACGACTTGATCAGTTAATACCTACTTATAAGACAACATTATTAACATTAAGCTTCCAAATAAACTTACCAAGACAATAGAGCTTGTCTGCAGGATAATTTTTTTCCAACAAAATGCCATGCTTATATTCAGAATGTTACACATAAAAATGCAATTATCATTGGTCACTCAAGCCAGTGGAATTAGGATCTATCTACCAAGTTCTGTCATTACTCTTCTGTCGGGAAATATAATATTTCCGTGAAATTTGACGACAACCATCCTAAAAATTCTTAAATTCTTTATTTTTAAATTTTTGCCCGCCTTCAGTATCTCAAGTCTCAAATTCTTGATGGGTCGTTCTCAAGGTTGCCACCAAATTCCCGGTTAATAGCCACACTTTTTCTACTATATACAAATTCCTCGACTAAAGCTGCAATAAAACTTCGTTTTTCCAATAGCTCAGAGCTTAGTTAGAGAGGTATTCATAGGACCGTGCGCTTTTCCGTTGTCACTGTTTTTTTTGTAGTCCAGCTAATTCATAAGATTTCCTACACAATAGATTCACAAGTAATCTAACGGAAACTTCGTTTTTTTAAAATCAAATCGTACACAGGTTGTATCCAGTGGTATTGTTGACAAGTATATTGGCGAGTCAGCTCGTCTTATTCGAGAAATGTTCAATTATGCACGAGATCATCAACCCTGCATTATTTTATGGATGAGTTGATGCAATCGGCGGTCGTCGTTTCACTGAAGGTACAAGTGATCGTGAAATTCAACGTACTTTAATGGAATTATTAAATCAGATGGATGGTTTTGATGCACTTGGTCAGGTAACTATTGATATTTTCTGTTTCTGAAAAGCTGTTCATCTCTAATTTATTTTCTAAAGTATATATTACAAGGTTACTTTTTATCAGTTTATGTTAAAATCGTTGTATTCACTGGTAAATATGCATTGTTCTTAAGGGCGGGTTAAATGTTATTATTTCCTAGAGTAAGTATTCTTAATTGAATTCTTCATGAATTACCGATAAAATCCTTTGACCAACTTTAAAATGACATTGACTTCCTACGGAATTTGGTTTACCATTAAAAGTAAGAGGGCATTGAACGGCTGTTTTATCTTCTCATGAAATTCCTCAGCATTTTGACTCGCTAACCTGTCAGTAATCAAACCCAGAAGCTTATGGAAAGCGCGTTACAGCTAGGCGACCGCGTTAACATCTAATGGTGTACATTTCAAACTGCAGTCAATTCTCAATATTGCCATAGGTCATACTGTGGTGTATGCTACTTATGTTTACAGATATAAGCAGTATGTAATACCAGTCTGAAGTAGAATGTCTGCGAGCAAAAGGTTGGGAAAATTGAAGTGAAGAGAAAAGAGAAGGAAACTGAGAGCAATCAAGATAACAACAGTAGTGAAAGAACAATGAAGCTTGTGAAAGACAATTCAGAGATGTGCAAATGATGTATTTGTTGTATGATTTTCACATTTTGCTAAACCACTGTGTGACTGTGCATTAAGAAAATAAATTAATCTTCCACACTTGACTTATACGTTCACTACAATACTTTTTTCGCTCTCGGCATAGTTAAACTTCACTGGTCACATATCCTCACTTTCATCATACTGGAGTGAAAAACAAAAGTCACCTACATATGTTAAATCCTTTGTCATAATTTCTTAGACATGAATTTCATGCTCTTTAGCACATATCGGTAAGAAGTATTTATAACTTAAAAAGCCTCAATATTGTTTGAGTTTTAAATCTCTTGTCAGTTTCATAGGCTGTTGTTGATTAACTAAGGATATGTTATAGTTACTAACTTCATCGACTAAAATACTGTAATGTTAACCATAAAGATGTATCACAAAATGTCGACTATCACTACGATCTAACTGAATTCGGTATACTGCTTTACTTATTTGTGCAATTCTATTTCATTTACGATCACAGGTTAAAATGATCATGGCAACTAATCGTCCGGATACCCTTGACCCAGCTCTACTTAGACCTGGACGTTTAGATCGTAAAATTGGTAAGCTTCTATCCTTTGTCATAATTTATTTTCTTAGAAATTCCTCTGCCTAATGAACAAGCTCGAATGGATGTACTAAAGATACATGCAGCTCCAATAGCCAAACATGGTGAAATAGGTAAAGTGTCATTTCCTTGATATCTCGTTCTTGTATTGTTTATATTAATTCTCTATTTGTCAAATTAAAAAATACTCTAAATTATGCAATAAATACCTATATATTTCCTTATCCTTACTGTGCTTATAACTAGAGAGAGTTTTCTGATGGGTTACGAAATCGCTCAAGGTACTTTTGTCAATACCAGTTAATTTAAATAGTATGGTTATGATATACAAATTTCACAATGGGTATTACTCCAGGAGTATTAACATAGTACTTTTTGACTGCCATTCAAATATCACTGAGTTTAACCTCGAGACATGATAATTGTAAGTGAAATACCTAGCCTATTGAAGTTAGTTGATTATTATAGTACGTTCTGGTGGTCCATTGATATCAATTAGTGTCATCAATTTTGCTTTAATTTAACCAAGTCTGATTAGCTAATACGTGTAGATAACACTCAAAGACAGAAGATTAGTTACTGTTATAACGCTCGGTTTTCTACGTCTACACAAATATCTACATTAGATTCCTTCCCAGTGTCTATTCTACAGGACTTCAACACAACACAGATCAAGAGCACGTGATTAGCCTAACTAGTACGTAAGTATATTTCCACACCAAAAAACTGACAACTGAATATATAACTCATCTAACGCCTGTCAAACCATTTACAAGTCTGACTAAGCAAACAACCATCATTATCTTTCTCGCTCACACAGTTACTGATTTACTAACTCAATTTAAACTTCTAATTCATGGTTATTCTCCATACCTGTTTTACGCGAATCTAACTTTACTGCATAAATCTTTAAATAAAAACGAAACCAAATTAAAAAATAATAATATGACGTCCATTTCACACAGCATCACATAAACATCGAATAGAGAGTACTAGAATGTGCATCATGAAAACGAAAAACAAAAAAAGGGTAGTGGCTAGCAATGGAATCGAGGACACGCGTTTCGTCCCATTTGGGACTCGTCGGCTGGATGTACTCGCATCCCAGAGTTGATGTTCACTCCTGGGCTCGAACTCATTACCGTTCACTTCGAACGCCATCGCGTTATCCACTTAGCTACTGAGTCCTTATAGCCACTTGCTTATACAATGAGGTTGAGTTTAAATTCACTTGGGTTGTTTTACTTGTATTCCCAGTGTTATTTAGGACTGTAATTGATCGATCTCATGTTCGCATACGTGCTTCCTGGGCGGATTGCCTCGATTTAGTCTTAAAAACAAAAAATATTATCGAAAAACAAAATAAGGATAATCATATTCTAAAATTAGAAATAGGAAGTAGTGCAGAAATATAGTGCAAGTATAAACAAGAAATCAATTTAAGTTTTATTCAGTTAGTAGAGTGTATTGTATGACTATGAAAAGTATAATATAGATGTCAATGGCTTTGTACCAGATTAATAACATGTTTTCTCTCTCGCAAACAATCTAGTCATTTTCCCTATTCATAATGATAATCTGCGGCCCGGATAGCTCAGTGGTAACGTCTCCGACTGTAAAGCTGGGTGACACGGCATCGAGTCCGCCAGGGAGCACCAGTTTCCTCATGATTACAGGTACACGTTGCTAACGAGTGCCAAGTAGCACGAAACCCGAGTTCAGGGTTTCCTGTCGACTACCTCCAACCACCATCTAATGATAATCTGTTTTTATATACTTTATTTGAGGCAATGATCAACTATTCAACATCTAAATTTCTTTATTGGTGAAATAATTTAGTACTTTCAAGATTCTCATATTTTATCTAATTGAATATGACATAGATGGTGCTTGGTACCTGTGTGGTTGCGCCACAGGATTGAGCTGTACTATTCGGATTGTAGCGTTAAAGCCTGTACGGTGTCTGGTTCCTCTGCCAAACGGAGTTGAGCTGTACTGTTTGGGTTTTTACGTGAAAGTCTGGATGGTGTCTGGTTCTCCTGAAAACCAATGTAAAATTACCCTGGCCCACAAGGGTTTATATAACTGTGAATATGACATAATTTGTGTATTGTAAAAACATGTGCAATCACATTACATCTACGATAATATTGTATAATATAATTTAAATTTTTTGTTTGTTTACCAACTATTAACTTACTTAATTTATTCTATAGATTGGGAAGCAGTTGTTAAACTATCTGATGGATTCAATGGAGCTGATCTACGTAACGTTTGCACAGAAGCTGGTAAGTTTTATAGTAATCATGCTGTCGCTTACCTTTCTTAACAGTTTTTGAATATACTAATTGTTATTTAGTAGGATCATTAGAGCTGATTTATTATAGTATTTAGTAAAGTATGAATAAAACAAAACCTTGTGTATTAGATAATGAATAAGGCAAATTTAACAGGATTTCAATTCGTATTCATCTTGAATTGATGAAGAACAGTTGCAGTCCAGATAGTTGCTTTTGATTTAATTGCGAAGCTTTCATCGTCATTATGAGAAAAATCTTCAGCGCTTATGTCATGCAGGATTCGTATTCACCCTACATTAGTTAAGGGGACACATTCAAAGCAGCTGACGAGAAACCTCGAAATATTATGGATCCATACTATTCTGCACTAATATTTGTTCTTGCTTTATTTAAATTCATAGAGGGAACCAATTGCATGAAATTTCCAATAGATGTGACTGCATACGATTTACAAATTATATATTCGTGCATTTTATTCGGTCGCCCAACATACTTTCTCGCCCAAGTAGTCAGTTGTAGGATTAGAGCGTAGCACATCGTGTATTAGTACCAGTTTTCGGACATCACCCGTCACAATAACTGGAGTTGAGGTTATTCTCCATAATTTAATCCTGTAGACTCTAATTGCCACTATATGGGGAAAAATGTTTGAAGAAAGTCCAGATACCCACTACAAATTTCAAATTCTCAGACTACCTATTTATGTACAAATAATACGTCACTAATAAGTGTACACTGTACTTATCCCATCTTTCGTTTTGCTTATGATGACATTCTTCAAAATCCTGTTCTCCACTGTCTTCGAATGCTATATCACGTATCTGTTGTTGAGTTTAATTGACTAACTCAACAATTCCTTACTTTTTTTTATAATTTTCAATTGTGTCAGTCTAACATAGTACCAGAGCTTTTATTTCTCAAATGTTATTTAACCTTTTTTTTTTGGTCAATATAGGTATGTTTGCTATACGTGCAGAGCGAGATTATACAATAGATGAGGACTTTATGAAAGCTGTACGAAAAATAGCCGATGCTAAGAAATTAGAAACAAAATTAGACTATAAACCAGTCTAAATATAGGGATATATTATTTTGCATGCACATTGCTGACATATAAAAAAAGGTTATTCAACAAGTATTGATTTTCAATAAAACAAACTTTGTTTTATTAATCAACCTATTAAAGTGTTTAACCAATAATTATTTGTATATTTCAGTTGTTATGTTTTATATAATACAAGGTGAAATAGAAAATGTAATTTACTGGTCATAATTTCATTATTTTCGATCTAGATAGTGTAATCAAGTCGTATTGACTAATTAGGGCTTCGTCAGACAGTTTAAATGGTATTTAATATACGTTCTTTTCAGCAGAATGTTCCTGTGGGAATGACTAAATTAGAATTGTGTGCAAATATCCCATCCAATGTTGTGCTGAACTGATATGCTCAATAGACACAATGACTAGTCAAGATTATATAATATCTTTAAAATTTGTAAAGATATAGTAATCATTCTGAAGTACATCTACTGATGCTGTAGTGTGTGCTACTTATGTCAACGTATGTAGTTGGTATTTTTGAAGCGATTACGAGTTCACCTAATCTGAGAACGGAACGAAGACTCTGTGATATAATGACAGATAAGCCAGCTATTCTGACGCGTCGCGTCTCAGCCTCGCTAACTAGAGAAAAAGTCTAAGTTCGGAAAAGGGAAATATATTCCACAAGCAGCCAGAAGCACGAGCATTGAAAACAGGCGCAAATCAATGTATATATACAGCATATGATTGTCCTTGGGATGCGTTACAAAATAGCATACCAAAAATACAACAAACTAATAGCGTTTAAGATCCTCCCAAGTGGGAAATACGACATGAAGGTAGAAATGAGCGCTTTTGGCGCGAAAACAATAAATCCAAAATTTTAAAATAAAATTACAAAAATAAGGCATTTACCAAGTGAGTTCTGGGGATCTAACATCCTCAACAGTAGTATGTAACGCTAATCATGAATAGAATGTCTGCCAGAAGAAGGTTAAGAGAACGGGAACAGAAAACAATTAGTATGGAAATGCAGGAACAATGAAGTCTGAGACAATTAATGGACATTTTGCAAATGAAGTATTGGAGTATGGTTTTTCTATTTTATCAAGCACCTCTGTAGTTTTGTGCTAAATATAATCGGTCCTCACCTGTGCTCACTACATTTGGTATCGCTGTCTTCACTAAGAATGAAGATTCCTTCCCGAATGAATTTGAGAACGGAGATGTGCTGAGCTTTATGAAGGAGTTTGAAGCCATGGTGGAGCTGATGGGAGTGAAGGAGCCTAAGGCGAAGATGGTGGTGTTGGGGACGCTGCTAAGAGGCAGGACGAAGGTTGTATATGACAGCTTGGGCGGTTCTGGCGGGAGAATGACATCGGAGACAGTCACAAAGCGGTTGATCCCGGAGATCGACAGCCCAGTGGACAGAGAAGAGGCACTGCAGAAGTTCCAGCTAGCGAAGTTGTCGATCGATTGTGACCCACTGGTGCTGGCTGTGGAGCTTACCAGGTTGTTGCACCGCGCGCTGCCGAATCTGGATGAGTCGGAGGCACAGTTGTTGGCGTCGCAATTTATTAAGAACGTGCCGACCACCGTTTCCCAGCAGCTGAGACTAGTAAACGCCGCACGACCTATGGATATCAGTGAACTGGCGGTGACCCGAACAGGAGCTCCGGTCGGGTGCGCAAAGCAGGAGATTAATAATGTCAAAAAGATTGAGGAGCTGCAGCTTGATGTTGCGGCAATACGAGTGAATCATAAAAGGAACGATAGATGTTAAGCTTGTGGTGGGACAGGACATTGGAAGATAAACTGCCTAATAAGACGCAGATATTTAGACGTTATAACGTGTGTTCTTTCTACCCTAGGAATCTGGGGTTTGTTGCACTAGTAGATAGAGGGGGCAGTCTACACAGGAGCGAAAATAAATAAAGGAGATTTAATGTGTTTGATCGATATAGGGGCAACGGTATCGTTAATAGGCAAAGAACAATGTAAGAGACTCAAGGCATGTACATTGGCAGTTTAGACCGTAAGAGGGCACATGTTAGGTGTTGGGTATGCCTAACAGCATCGTAAATGTGGAATGTGCTGAGATAAATTCCTCGTTCGTAGTGACTAAAAGCCTATCGAGACCAATAGTAGGAGCAAATTTCCTAATAGAAGTAAAAGCAATAGTTGACTTAAGCGGTAGGATGGTCACACAGTACGGTTTATTCCCAATACATGAAAGTAGCGAAGTGGCTAAGATAAGAGTGGCAACAGACGTTTCAACGAAGGGACCAAACGTTAGCGAGTTCTGCACAAAGTACATGAAACGGCTCACTAGAGGCGTAGCCGTACGGATTTTGTGACAAAGTAAAGCACGAAATCCCAATAAAGAACAATCGAATAAATATATTTGCAACACGTCGTGTATTTAGAGGATGAGGTAAATCGACAGGTCCAGATGTTGAAAGAAGGTATATCTGATAAAGCGAATAGCCCGTATAACTCTTGGTAAAGAAACCAAATGAAAAGTAGGGATTTTGTGTCGATTTTAGAGAACTGAATCCTTGTTCAATGTCTACAGTAGTGGAAACATTATATGGGCTGCTAAATGATACGGTGTTCACAGTGCTGGATTTGCGGTCATGTTATTGGCATCTGCATACAATAAATGAGAGCGAGCGAAACAAGATAGCATTTACTATAAGTGATGAACAGTAATCATTTAGACGAATGCCGATTGGGTTGGCGTGTGCCACGTTTACGTGCAGAAGATTAATGACGCTGCTGCTCAGGGATCTAGGTAACGTCGATGTTTATGGCGACGACGTAGCTGTGTACAGCTATACAGAAACTTCACGCCAAGCATGTGGAAGCGGTCTTAAAGCGAATTGAAGAAGAATGTGGACTTCGAATTATTAGGGACAAGTCCCAGAGAGCGAAAAGTAGCGTCACGTTGTTGTGGCATAAAGTGAGAAATGGGTTAATAGAACCACAGCCGTAGAAAACCCTAACCATAAAGAATGTTGCAGTATCTAATTCAAAAAAGGAATTGAGAAAATGCCTGGGAAGGGTGGCATTCTACAGTCGGTCGTCAAGAACTTCAGTGACGTAGCAGCATCCCTATATAAGTTGTTGAGCAAGACAAAGTTTACATGGACTGAGGTCGCCCAGCAAACGTTCGACCGAATCAAGAACAATGCCAGGTGACCCTCAGACTGCATGAACCCGAGAAACTGTTTACAGTGGCCACAGATGCAAGTGATCATGGTATAGGTGTCATCTTGAGTCAGTCTAATAGCGTACTGGAATACATGAGTCGCGTTATCACACCCACTAAACCGAAGTATTCAACGATCGAAAATGAATAATTAGCAATTGTGTGGGCAGGAGAGAAATCGTAGCCTTTGTGTACATGACCACATCGAGACTGACCATGAACCCCTGGAGTAGCTGAAAACAGCAGGAGACCCACGTAGAAAGTTGGAGGGATGGATAGCACTTCTGTAGGAGTACGACTTCAGTATCGGGCACGTTCCAGGAAAGGAAAACGTAATGGCGGACTTCTTGTCCCTGTTTTGAAAGTGACGAGTTTAAAGCCCATCTTAAGCAGTTTGGCATCAAAAGGATACGAATCACACCATATCATCCTCAGACAACTTGGCTTACAGAAAGAAACAACCGGACGTTAAAAGAATGGTTAGCCTCTAAAGGAGAAAATTGGGAGAGATACCATTGATTTTGCTGGCACATAGTGCCTCTATACAAGGAACATCCAAGAAGTCACCTTTCCTGCTTATGGTTGGTATACAGCCACCAACTTCGATGCATAATAAGACCTGGCCACAACAAAAGTGGACGAGAGGAGGAGGGCAATAAGGAACGTGGAAAATAAACAAATATCAGACACAAACAAGGAGGGACAACAGAGAACGTGGAAAGCCTTTGCAGTGAGGGAACTTGTAAAGTCTAGAGAACGGAAAGGTATCATAGAAGGGGGGCCAGGGTCAGGAAAGCTGATCCTGAAGTGGGAAGGACCGTACATTGTCACGGAGAAACGTGGTTTGCTTTACACGACCCGTAGAGAAGACAAGCAGAAGCGCCTAAATGCCAGACAACTGCCGAGATGGTTTCAAGAGCATCATGAGTGCGAGTGAAGAACACCATCAAAGACAGCGGTGCAGCGACCAGGAAGATGCGAGAACAGTGTGTTTTGCCACTTATGTCGAAATATGTATCATATAAGCCTAGTCATGATTAGAATGTCTGCCAGAAGAAGGTTAAGAGAACGGGAACAGAAAACATTTAGTATAGAAATACAGGAACAATGTAGTCTGAGACAATTATTAGACATTTTGCAAATGAAGTATTGCAGTATGGTTTTTCTATTTTATCAAGTAACTCTGTAGTTTTGTGCTAAATAGAGTCGGTTGTCCTCACCTGTGTTCACCTTCACTACACTGCTACCGATGGTAGTAAGCTTGAGGGACCGTCTTATTTAAGATAGGATTATTAGGCCCGACATTGTTATTGTGATGTAGCAACCCCAGTTATTTGACAAGTGTTCTTATTGGTTACATCACTTTAAGAAACACTATAAATGGTAAATTTTAGCTGATTGTTTTTGAGATATAATTTCGTTGAAGTTTGGTGATGTACTAATCATTTAAACTTTCTACTCACATTAGATCTGATCTCAATATTTTCGACTCATCAACTGAGATAATTCTGCTTAAGAATAACAGATATCCGATCAATGACTATGTTGTGACTACACAGGCATCTTTGATAAACAAGGAAATCAGCATCAAAACAGTATTTCATTACAAGCTATACTCTATGATAGGTTTGTGTTAGATGGTCGAAAGGGATCACAATTTGCAAACAAATCATAGCACATTATAAAGTTGAAATAATTGATAATTATTTTAGTGTAATTTCATTTTCATGGTTATCATCTGAGCCTATTATCACGTAAATTAGACGCGAGTAAACTTATTGAAACATTGACTTAGTTAATTTGAAAAATAATCTACCCACTTTCAAAACATTTAGAAGAGATATTTCAAGTAAATACGGTTATTATACATTAATGATAATCTATTTACATTGTCGTATATGTTTATAATATTAGTTATTTTATTAGAATTGGATAAAATTAGAAAATACGTAGTTTTTTCTCTTTCATTTGTTTATTTTGCATATTTACAATAGTTCGTTCATTCTCTTTTAATTTTATCAATTGTGATTGTAAATCATTAACTCGTTGTTGTGCTTGGTTAACTGCTAAACGATCTCGTCCTTCATTTCTTCTCATTGAATCTTGAGCTTTAGAAATTTGATTATGTAATCGATTGATTTGTTCATGTGTATGAAATAGTTTACGTTTCAGAATACTTTCATTACAATTTGTAAGAGAATTCTGAGATGTTACGGTATTCTTTGTATTATGATTGTTATTACTATTAGGGTGTTTTGGATTTTGATCACTGTTACTGGATGTCGATGATAATGCCATATTAAGTAGCTTAAAAACCTTCCACTATGAGAAACTTGGTTTTTTGATGTTTTACTTGACATTTCTATTGTTTTATCACGGCATTTAAGATTTTTCACAAGTTTTCGAGATAACACAACATTGTCTAGTGAAGGTCTATGATTCCACTTGACATTATGCACTTGATACTTTTCAAGGTTAGTGCATACAGGAGATTGACGACCTTGGTGACAGCGACCAAGTCCACCGGAACCTGGATAACCCATACTTGCTAATAAACGAGAGCCTATTCCTCGAGTATGTGCTTCCCAGTCACCAATGGAACTCTGTTTGTCTTCTTTATTAACATTGGGATATTCCTTATCGGTGTCTAAATTTGTTCGCTGGTCCGGTAAAAGCGTATTACCGAAGACAAATTGAACCCGTAAACGACGTTTATCATACTATTAAAAAAAATCACGAAGAGGCTTTTTACAACTAGAAAATATAACTCATATTAAATATTAAGAATATGATTTACAATATGGTTTTTTGTTACATAACGAATATCCTATATTCTTGTTGAGAATTCTTCTCACTCGTAAAGTAGGACGTAGCAATCTGCTGTACATTATACTCGTTCTTTAGTAGGCAGACGGATAGCTCACCTACAACGCAAGTGATGCAAGTTGGCAAAAGCCAATCGAGTTGTTGTTTCATGTCCGCTTCAAATCTTCAGATACATGAAAACTTCACCGCAGTCTATACTCACTTTAGCGTGAAAGCCAATTTATAGTCAATGTCATGTACGGTGTATTCGGTAACTTCTAGTCCATACGTAAACAACTACAATTTCAAGTAATAGAAAAAAGGTCTAGAAATATAAATTGCAAAAAAACACATCAACAAACCTGCGAACATGATTGCGATTCAGTCGTCTGTCCACTACTGATCAGTTCGATGGAAGGCCGAGTATACGAAGTAGTAAGATCCAAATAATCTCTGGAATCTTCCGAATTAGTAGTTGATGATGAAATATCACTAACTACAGAAACATCAGAGTCAATATCATCATCATTTTCTAATATATGGATACATTCTAGTGGCAAACTAGTTACTTTATCCTCCAAGTTTCCGTACGATTGACGCTTCACTGATTTCTTGTCAGGTTGGCTTTTATCATGACCCCATTCAACAACACAAGTGCCTGATTCAAAATCCGTTTGAAGAAGCCTTGCATAATGCCATAAAGAATTGTGATCATTTTTACGATCATTAGCTAGACATGGTTGACCTTCATGTAGATAGTTTTCTGTGTCTGGTTCATACCATTCTCCAATATCCTTTGAGAAGAAAAACCATAATACATGATTACTTCACATTTGCATAGTTACAAAACTTCATATTTTGTGCGCATTAAGTAGCTGTAACAAATTTAGATGACACACATTTACTACGTGATTTAAAACGTAAATAAAGAAATCACAAATACAGTTTTATGGTATCAAATTAATTTGAAAAGACAGGATCCCTAATTGATCATCGCACTTCTAAATATGGCAAGTTGTGCGGGGTTTATGGTTTGATGCAGAGGCAGAAAAATACAATATACACTACAAACATTTATATCGCTAAAATTAATACAATTACAGAGAATGTAGATGTAGCTTTGTAATATATTTCTCTGATCCGTCAGTTAATCATACCTACCATTTTTAAATAATTAATAAATCAAGTATTCGAAAGAATAATAGTGTCTTAATTATATCTGAACTGTTCATACCAACCTAACTTGAGATAATTATTCCTGTACATTCGAATAGGAATGTACACTGAAATTAACTAGAAATAAACCAATGGGGAGTTCCGGAAATAGATTTACTGATGAATGATTAATTAATACATATTAGTAACTAAACACAGGTTTATGTACTCGGCTTTGACCCATACTGTGTGTAATGGTCAATGATATCAACCAATAGCCTAAGTAGACTAAGATTCAAACTCGGGACTTATCGTTTAAGAGTCAAGTCCTCTTAGAACTAAGCCATAGCTCAAAGTGTGATTTCTATTAACTAATTACAATGTGTATCATGCAAACAAGTAGACACAACTTAGGAACTTTTAAAGTTGCAGAGTACATTGTGCAAAACGGATAATCCAGAAATTCGACACAAATACACCTGGGGTTAGTGACTAAAGATTGTCGAAAATAGGATTGAAATCATGAAAATCAAGTACATAATTTAAAAAACTAAAATTATTCTAACGTCAATCGAATACAGTGTCAAATGGGAATCAAACGCGTATCTTATCAAAAATGTGCAATGATAACGCTTTATTTACTCACTTCAATGTTGAAAATCTTTCCATGAGAGCGAGTACAACGTATACCCCGATGACAGGTTCCAGTCTCAAAAAATCTTTCACAAGGTATTTCATTAAGACGTGTTGGATGAGCCAATAGTACTCGTACTCGATCTGGGCTGTCTCCATCATGATCCACAACTGAAAGGATTAGCGCATTTTGTCGAATAAATTTCCCAGATGAAGTCCATCCAGGAACACTGCAACGTTGTCCGACTAAAGACTCGTCATTAATTGTCGATGAATCTGTCTGAAGTGACGTTCCTTGTAATTCAGCGTCTTTCTCTGGATTATCAGTAAGTATAGATCCAATTTCAGCTAAAAGTTGTGCTTTTCTACTATTCAAAAGCTCATTTTCTTTCAATTCAATCAACTCTTCCAAGTCTTTTTTTAGATTTAATAAATCAGAACACTTTAATTGATCATTTTCTTCTACAAGGCAGGTATTTATCTTATTAAGTGTTAGCTTCAGATTTTCAATCTCTTGTGATATTCCAGTGACTGACTGTAAAAAAATAATGCTATTCCAAAGTACATAATAATGAAATGAAATGATATATATATATATATATATATATATATATATATATATTAACGCTAACACATGTGAGTTGTTCATCTATATGTGAATAAAATAGTACATTGAAATTGTACTCAAATAAATACAAATTTCCTTCTAGTAATCTTCAAGTCATTGCTTTAAGAATGTTAATGTTACTATTCAGCTGAATAAATCAAAGACAAGTTCATAATTCTGTAAATGGTTAGTGAGTTACATCATATGAAAGATTACTGAAGTGATTAGGACTGAACGAATATACATCCTATGTCATAATTAACGTGAAAACTTACAAGTGCTTGAAATACTGCAATAAGCAATTTGAAATGTTTTCTTGAATGTACTAATATTGACGTATAACTGTTATCAAGTGATAAATTAAATGAAATCTATACAACTCATCTTCTTAATCATATATATATATATATATATATATATATATATATAAAAATATATATATATTATAATATTACTCTATGATAACGGTACTGTTGGTATGATAAACGATTTATAAAATGTAATAACTCAATACTAACTAGATAGAATCATTGGTGAAATGATTTATTTCACAATAATATTGTATAATTAATTTTCGACTAGATAATCAAACATCCAATCACAAGTCATATAATATAATTTTACTTCTGTTCGTTATTTAACAATTGAACAATCACTAATTATTTCATTGAATCGTATGAAGAGAGATATACACATATTTACTGGAATATTATTACTATAGTAATTGAATTTTCTTTTTTATTACTATTATCGAAATCAATCATGAACCTAACAGAGATATTTGATCATCTTAGAATATAATTGGATGATCGACAAGGTCATCTTAGTAAATGATATGCATACACGTACAAATAGTATAATAGAGAGAAAGAGAGAGATAGGCCACAAAAAACTTATGTAGGATAAAAGTAATAACAATAATAATATAAACGAGAAATCAAAAACTACACATGATATAGTAAATAATTTATCTATTAAACACAAAACAGATTACAGTGTTAGATTAAAGGTGATAGTAATAATAATTATCATTATCACTATCATAATAATAGTATATACACATACATAGTTATATGAACAATAGAAATAAACGCATCAATGAAATAATACTATTTGTTGTACATAAATATATTTATATACATAGAAGAGAATGTAGACAGTACTAACGAATGCAAACTACCATACATAGATACAAACAAATTCAATTATTGTTTCTATTAATTTCATAACCATTATCGAATATAATAGAAGAATATGAACTTTGTATATGCACACACATACATAAAAGTGATGAAAATTAGATGTAAGAAGAAATATGAGTAGATAGTGATTAGTTATATAAGTAGATAGAAAAATAACTTTCAATCAACTTATACACTACAATAGTGAATAGAAAGAAAATCCTTATAAAAAAATTAACAAATAGAATATTATTTATACACAAAACACTAAACTTCAGTGATGAGAAAAGAAGAATAATAGTAATTTATATATAAACATTATATGACACTTTGAAAATTCTCATTGTAATGTTATGTATATATATAATATATATATATATATATATATATATTATGTAAAATATAAAATGCTGCATGGTAGTGCATAACGTACATACACAACACTGTACAACTTTATTTATCAATGGATATTGGTGTTTGAAATATATATCTAGAAGTTGGCAAAAAAAAAAAGAAACAATGAATAAAATAAATGAATTATAGGAAATAAAAGTTTATGCAGTGTGTTATGAAAGTAGAAGGGGTAAGATGAAGAAAAAAACATTTAGATTACTGAGAGATGAATTCGAGAGAAAACTCTCTTTTTTTTAAAAAAAAAATATATATATACCAACTCCTTCTGGAACCCTCTGAGGCTACTACCGGTCTCAAGCCTGGGTAACGGAGGAGGGTGGATTATGGGGTTAACGACCCCACCTCGTAGGAAACTAACTCACTAAAAAAAGGCTAACCAGGGAAAAAATAATTCGAACCATTTAAAATCTGCCCTGGGAATTAGAAAGTCTTCATTTAGAAGAGTTATAACGCCTCATGGTGAATGCCGAGTTCCTTCGGAAGTCATCAGGCTGATGCCTTTTCTGACAACCAAAACAACCATTAAGTTAGGTACATGGAATGCTCGTACAATGTAGGAGACCGGGAGAATCTTCCAAAGAGCTGCAGAAATAAATAACCTTGTGAACAACAATACAAGGTCACTATTAACTATCTTATGTATATACGAAATCTTAAAACTAATATATTTCAAATGTAACTGTCAACTTGATGTGATTAATGGGTTTCCTTATTATCATAAATATATATCCCATATGTTGACTAGAACAATTGTTTTGTTGATTGGAGACTAGTGTAATAAGACAGAAATCTTACGTTACTATATAGAGTAAAGACGTACTCAGTATTGATTGACATTGAGATTTTTTAATCAAAATTCTCTAACACTACAACCTTTTCAAAAATGGATTAAGAGGTAAGGAAATGTAAGCCTGGAAACATTACAATCTTTTTGTTATCGTGTCACAATGAAGACAGATGGGCTTACAGTGGCATAGATAATACAAAAATAACATCAACAATGGCGAGACCCTAATTTGTGGACGACTTTTGAACGAATTTTAAGTGACCTTGAGCGTATTGGCCAATCAGCGAACAGTAAGTATGGAGTAAAAATAGATTATACAAAACCAAGGAAATATAGTGGATACACTTCTTATACGTGGTTCAAAAGCTTGCCAATGTTAGAAAGAGGTTCAGAGGTTCTGATGTCGCAATGCATGCAGTAGAGGAAATCATCCAAACGACCATAGGATAGTCGGTCTCCGGAGCCATGATAAGGTCTCAAATGCTCTCAACCTCGATAACTTAGTTTTATTATTGTTTATATGCACTTCGGTTGTTGAGTACACAAAATGCTACTTGTCGATAACGACACGATGCACATAACCAAACTATGTAGGAGTCTGTAGGTTCTCCAATCATCCTTATATAATGTAGTACCTGGCTGCAGCCAGTGTTACTGGTACTTTTATTATCCAGTTCGCGATAGTTGTCAGTTAGGAACTATATAGTGGGGTTTTCATCACAAACTGACATCACCTATAATGCCAGAAATCTATTTAGCCAAATGGATGAAAGGCTTTCGTGCCCAAATCCGAGATCTGTTATCTTATAACTGATTGATTCGTCCACGAATTATAGTCTCGCCGTCTTATTCGTTATAGCTGCTCAATTATTACGTTTTGTACAAAATTCCTTGTGAACCCATCGTACGTTAGCACTAAGCACTGATTTTTCACAAGAGTAAAACCGTGACGGTTGGCGCCGTAACCTTGAAATCCTTCAAACGCCTCTGATTGGCTCGTCCATAAATTAGAGTCTCGCCACAACAAAAAAGACAAATTCGAAAAAATGTCGTGTCATCTGTCTCAATTATTTGAACTTAGAATTTGTTGGTCACGATTTAGAGTTTTGCGGTCACTAATACACAGCAAGTGTTTTTTTTTTTAATTTCAGAACCGGGAAGTGAAGACAGTCCGAGGATTTGTATACAGGCTGCCAGTAAATAGTGATCTAAATTCGATCAAGACAGTAATTTAATCAATGATCATCAGTAAAATTAATTAGGTAGTAATGTGTGGGTTTAGTGACCGGTTGCAATAGGATTGCATTTCCTGATGTCGTTACATTTTCTTTCAGATTAGATATCAAGACTATGAGGGCTCGGTGGACAGTATAGTGTCTCTTACATAAATCATTTTAAATATAAACTTTAAAATATCATTATCAAACGATTCAGCTTTTGATTGTATACTGAGACACATATCATACGTTGTAATTTTAAATGGATTTCAAAAAGAACTAGTGAAATACATTTTAAGTACTAAATATGGAAAGAAAACATACCTGGAAATTCATAACTACCGAATTACGGAATAGTTACTGGTTCCACCATTACATATATTTCCTTGAGAACTCGTTCCTGGACAGTTGTTTGGTGAATTTTTAATTAGGGAAGTTAGTGATTTCGAGCCTCTAGTGATTGCAACGTTATTTCGACGTCGAACTTGTCGGACTATGGGATTATGGGTCGGATACCTTCGTGAGTATCTTCGTAAGGTAATTGGAGTAGATAAAGTGTTGGAATCCAAATTGGTTTTCGATGATGATGGAGACAATGATTTACTAGAGCTGTTGGGACTATCTTCTAGCTCTTCAATTAGATTATGAATTCCAGGACTGAAATGATGTACTAAATTTTTGGTGACCGAACTTATCCTCTGAATAGAGTCCAATAGGTATTTTTTACGTTGAGAAATCCCTTTGATCAATTCAATAGCTACATTAAACTGACTAGCCATCTCGGATTCATCTGATTTTAATCCAGACTCTATAGATTTTGCTGTTTCACTAACACCTTGAGATACACTAAGAAGTGATGATGTAACACTCTGAGTAGAAATGCAATGTAGCTGGTCAGTTAAATCGGTCTCCATATTCTTTATGGTTTCTAGTGTTTGCAACTCTGTGTATGCCTAAAACCACGGAAACGGAATCTCTATTAGCAAAAAAGATTAATAAAACTTGGCTTCAATTGATATGCAAGAAATGTCACTCCCAAACTAACATACAGACATAAGGAAAGGTTATCTAACTGTGTATGGATACTAAAGATGCGACTTAAATGAAACTATGTCTCGAGCGAAAAAAAGAGTTAAGGAGAGAAGTGGTGAAATTTATTTCGTTAATTTTGGTTATTAGATATGAATACTAGGCTGACTGCATCGATATTGAGGACTTAATAGATAGACATTGACGAATGACGATTATGTGAAGAATATGTTAAACAAACAAGATTGGGTAAAAACTTCATTTAAAATACAACTTTGTGTGACCGACACGCTCAACTACTTCAACCCCTCATGGGTGGTCCTGAGGTACTATTTAGAGTTAGAGAAATCCATCCAGAATATTTTGGATCACTTAAACTGCGCAGATGACAAAATATTTTGGATCATGTAATGATGGACATAGCATTTATAACTGACTTAGAACTTAGATAGTTTTATCTCAAACACATCATCGACTTAATCGTCCTTGAACGCAGTTCGAAGAGATTTTATAGCTACATTTTTCTGCGAACAGTAGGATATAAACAAAAAGGTTACTTTCAGTATGGTATAAAATTTGCAAACAAAAGTATCATCTTATCCTATCAATTAATAAACATTAAGAATGACAGAACTTGGAACAACTTTAAATGGTGTAAACAGCAGAGACAATGATTGGAAGTAGAAAATTTTACGTGTTGAGCTACGAGCGAAAGCCACTGGTAGATTTAGATTCAAATTAATAGGTTACCTTATGAACTATTGAAGTATATACTTCTACACAAAAAAAAGCTGATTTGTCTGACAAACATTTCAAGACGAATTATAAAATCAAGACTTTCAATGATAACACTTACCAATAAATCCAAATTGTCAGCACAACGAAGAACACGCCAACCTGTAATATCCAGCACTGATGTAGTGGTCAAAGGAAATCTAACAAAACCAGAATCTTCTTGCTCAGCGCGTACCGCTAAAATATCTTGCACTAAACGTTTCGCTTCATTTGACTCAGAATTAGAATTTAAACTATTCATATCTCTCTCTCCTTTACTCTGAATGTCAGATTCGGAGTGTGACATATTCGTGCCAGTAACCAAAGAACGACGTCTGCGGCGAGTATTCTGCACACCACGTCGTGAAGAATCATCAGGATTGGCAGACTTGTGTTGTGGTCTTGTGCATATTTCAGAAAGACTAGAATATATGAGAAAGACAAGTTTATAATTCAAAAGATATGAAGGCAGAAAAAATTATTCATAAACAATATTTGAAAAATTCAATATGCATGGTTTGGAAATTAGTCTCGTACTATCAATATTGAAGAAAGCCTTCTGCTCACTCATGAAATCCTGACAAGAAAAAGTTAAGTACACGCTTGGAAAAACATGCTGTCTACCAAAAACCTTAAATGAAAATTTTCGACAGATAAAAAGTGTAGAGTTTGTAACAGTTTACATTGACTTACTACATATCAGTATATCGAAAAGAAACCAACAGTAGCAAAAAACAAAGCGAAAGAGTAATGGCGGCAGTAGTGAAGAACCACAGTAAAAACGAAATGGACGAGACAAATGGAAACTGGAAACGTAGGATGTAGAATAATGTGGTGTTTAGGACGTAGAGTAAAATGATTTAATACCATATCCTTGCAATTCCCAGCCATAAAACCTGCACCTCCTCGTATACAGTGACTTCCAAACCCTAAGGTGGAATCCTCAAGGCAAAAGGAAATGAAGTGGACATCAAAAGAATGAATAGCACTTGGAAGCAACTGGATAGGTGAATCCCGGTCTGTGGTTTATATCCCACGAGGGGTAATAAGCGTAAGAAAGTAGAGTAAATCTTCATGAACTGACATATTTATGCCATTCTGAACGCCACTAAATTTTCATTCACCCCTTCTATGTAAGCCTGCACATGACGTGATGACTAAATATAAAAATAAATGCCCTACTCATAATAGTTAATGAACAATTACATCCCTATTAGTTAACTTTCAACTTTAGGTTACACTAAACTCGGCATAAGTATTCCTCATTGGGTGGTTTCATTATATGTGAGCAATAATTTTGAAGACAATCAGCCTAATGTGAAATGTAATACCTTGCACCAATAGACAATTATTCTAAGTCCCATGTGGTTTAAAATTAACTAAGTGACTAGTAAATTCAAAAATTCTGACCACTTACTCAAAGATGATCATCAAAGAAAATAAGGGTGTAGTTGTACTCTTGAATTTGATTAAGATTTAGTCATCAAACATCAACCGATATTTTTACATCTATGACCCCTACGTACGTACGTTAGATCGAGTTGCCATACCACATTAGCACAGAGATGCAGTTGTCGATTCAAATCCCGTAGTGGTAGAGGTAGTAAAAGTATAAACAGTAATCGGAAAGATTAGGGTTTGAAGATGTTATTCAAAGAGTATAATCCAGTGAAATAAATTTCGAAAGAGAAAAAAAGGGATATGAAGAATTCGGAAGATTAGAATTTGGGAGAACACAAAGAGTGGATGCACCTGCACCATTGCAAACGATTTTCAGCCATGTCATTCAAGGTCTCTAACCATCGCTTGTTATCGTCTCGCGGATCCCAACCAGGTAGTCTACACCCACCAACGTGGCTTAGTCCACTCGTCAGTGACTTCCTACATTTGTGCCATGTTTTGGTCTGGCCACCCCTAGCTTTCGTCCAACCTACTCCCCTACACCATAAAACATCGCACCTCGGGGCAGTCGGTGGTTGGGCATACGTAACACGTGTCCCAGCCATCTCAACCAATGAAGTTTCACTACTTCGTCAATTGATTTGCCATCTTTACCTAGTACCTGTTTCCCAACAACTACATTACTTACTTGGTGGTCCCAGCATATACGAGCAATGCTTCGAAAACACCTATGAGTTAAGATATAAAAATGTTATAATTATTAGTTGATAGAATTTTATGGCTCCCGAAGCTTCAAGGAGTGAAGGAAAATTGAAATTTGTGACTTGAATATAACATTTGAACTTTTATACAATTATCGAACGAATTTAAAAATCCACATCGTCTATCACGACACACATTTTTGGTGGACGATCTATGAGAGGAACTCTTATACATAAAAAATAACAGTATTATCAAAACACGAAAATATAGGATATCAAGCAATTAAAACTCACCTGAGAAAGTGAGAGCTCTTAGAACGACAAGGAACACTCAACCTACTATTTGACAATCCGCACTTTGGATTGATTAAAGGCCTTGTAGGTCTTCCATTAAGTATCCATTCACGACCATCAACAGGGTCTACAGTCCATAATATACCAGCTTTTGATAGTTTATTGCTATTGTGAAGATCACTTTTAATGGTAATCTCATCAGCCTTTTGACATTCATTTGGTTCCTGTTCACCTTTAATTTTCTTACGTGGTATATTGTGAATAGGTACGGTCAACTGTTTTTCGTTTAAAATTTTACTATCACAATCAGTGAAGTCATTGTTAAGGTCAGAATTATCTCTGCTGGTAGTAGGATAAAAGCAAGTGTGTTTTTCATTTGAATTCAAGTAGCTCCCAACATTAATTTGTTTTGAATCATCTATGTTATTATGTGACCATGAATTTGAAAGAGATAACTCAGAATGGGTTGAAATTGAATCAGACTTCTTCAGATCTGTATTATTCATATGGCTAGCATCAGCCGTTGATTCATTTTGAGATTGTTTCAAGGATGAAACTAGGTGATGTAAAAGAGGATTCGATTCAGAAGCACATCGGAGTGGTTTACTAGTCGGATTAATAAACTTTGAATCTTCGGAAACTGACTTAGAAACCTAGAAAAGATATTTCACAAATTTAGTAGGTTCATTCCACACAAGTTTTACGAAAGTACAATGTTGTAAAGCATTCTATTTTATCAGGTATATCAGTCCCTGTAAACCTTATTGTACTCTTGCAAACAACAAATATACAAAAGAACTTTGGATATTGATAATATTCTGAAATTTATTTTGTTAAAGTACCAACACGCACATAACTTTTAGGTCATTAAAAATACCTGAGTTTTAGTTCAACTTACATCGGATATTGAATGTAGGCTAGTTGAAAGAATATTATGATTAACAACTTGCAAACTTTTAGATTCTTGGTTTTCAGCCATGACAGTAGGACTAATATTTGGTTGTGGAGATCTAAATCGTACCTGAAGAACACCGTTTGTTGATCCAGAAACTACAACTGGACTGATGATACTGGAAGCAGAACATGTTGACTCACTTCCTGAATTAGAGTTCGACGAAGTAACAGTAGTAGTGCTTAGAATCGGATAAACAGAGGTGGTTAAAACATACACCGCAGCGGCCTGTGTTTGATGAATATCCGAAGACTGTGAGCAATGTGAATTGGTGATACGAAGGTGTCCACCAGAAGATACGATCTGTGATGGAGATGTGACCATAATCACTGAATTATCACCTGTACTCCCACGGGTCCCAAGACTCCCAGTAGATGACTGAAAACAGGTAGTATTTAGTAAAATAGAACTGTTATTGGGAACAGAAGTAGTTGGGGTAGAACGTACCGACACTAAACGTATACCCATAAGTCCGCTGTTGGATGGACTGACGTTAGTTGCACAGCTGACGGAAATGGTTGCTGATGTATTCTGTAGAAAAATAAATAAACAACTTTCTGATTAGTTTGTATAGAAACCAATTGAAAACATCATAGGAAATAGTTGTGACCGCTTCGTCCAATATGTGATGTTTACAAAGAGTAAAAAATCAGTAGGAATTTGAATGAGGGAAGTGGATATTGTCGGGAGAACGTAAAGAAATGTGTCTGAATTTCCCCAAATGAACAATAAGCTATAAATCTGTAGACGACTAGTTCAAAAACATTCAACTCGGCAAGTTAAATTGTCATACTAAATAATGAATGTGGATAAATTTATTAATCACCTAACTTGGTTACCTGAAAACTATAAACGTAATGTCGGTAGCAGTCACCATGATTAATCAAAATACTGGTACTACTTGTTATGACTGCGGACATTACACTTTATATGTTACGGTATGATGGAACGAAGACTGATAATGCTCGGCGCAAGGAAGAACAGTGTTATAACTTGTGGCCTGTGTGCCCCGTTAATGTATAACGTAACAATACCGCCAGTTTGAGAGTAGTGAATTATCGATCGGACCAATGACGCGTTAAACCCGTGCGAGTAGTCTAGAGTCCTTATTGGTTCTGATTTCCGCTTAGCCCAGCCAATTAAGTTCAGAACACTAATCTCAGCCTCTGCGATATGAATCATTTATTTAAAGCATACTCGGTTTATATACCAACCAGACAGACCACATCGTACAATAAAATAGGAAACAACATTTATACAAGATTTGGCCAAATGTGGCTGTGAATGTGGCAGGTAGTAATTCATAGACAGGGCATAATTTAAGAATGGTAAATCGTATAATAATAGTTCATAGGTCAAAATAAGGCTCATAATAAGAGGGACAAGAATATGAACAGTCTAGTTATTTAAAAATTATACGATAAAAGTATACGCATAGTATCGGTTCATAAATGGATCGCAAAAGTTACCATTCATTATGCCTATCGGGGCATAACAAACAGTAAGAGAGCAAATGAAAAGTTTACCGTAAACCAACCACAAATTCCCAATTGTTCAAAATAATAAAAACCACAATAAGCTATATTTCGTTTATTTATCTGGCCATTAGTTAAACCTGAATACATCAAACTGGAAGTAGTTGACATTCATTAATCAATAATTTAGTGTAAGTATTACTTACTTAAATTGTCAAACGCTTTCTCATAGTCAAGGAAGTCAATGTATAGTGAAGAATTCCGTAGGGTTGCGATTTGATCTATGCATGACCGATCATTATGGAATCCAGCCTGATGATCTCGAAGTTGGACGTCTACTGAACCTTTCATTAGGTTCAGCAACACTCTGTTGTAAAATTTTGCTGGTGCTGATAGTAGTGTGATACTTCTGTAGTGCAGTGTAATGTATACAATTTATAATATCGATAAATTAACAACTTCATCTACAGGAACTATAAGTTACGACCAATGTTCCAAATTAAGACATCTAACCATGATGTATGCAGATCAGTTATTGTTGGATGTTCAATACATTAAGCGATGTAAGTGAACACGTAGAAACTACAACTGTTAGTGTTTGAGTCAAGATTTAGTCAGTAATCAGAACAACCACGAACAACAGAATATCTACAGCAAGAAATTTGTGATTAGCTATTTTAAATTCGGATGGCACATCTCGGTAAGCTTAGAAACACATGGATAAGTGACTTAATCGGTGAAAAAATTAGCGATGGGTACAGCTACGGAGAAGCTCAATCATGATAAGATATTACCTTTAGAAAGTTTACAACTTAAATTTCACATACTACTAGTAAACTGACCTGAGAGCTCTGTCAGCCATCCCAGATGTCTACCGGGGTTAGAACAGCTGATCAATTAGCTAGTAGTCATCAAGGTAAGGCCTGAAACGAACGTGTATGGGATGAGGTTACAGCAGGGAAGGAAAGCTTCAAGATAAGAAGCAAAAGAGGGAACTCAAATTTAACATTAATAAATATCGAAACATGGAGGGGTTATGGTTCAAAAGGAAGAAACAAGAGCAAAGAATGGAGATTTAAGAACAGCACTTAATACTTAGAAGATAGACAATGAATGCAACAACTGGATCGCAACTAACTTCACTCCATGATACTTAACACCCCACCCACCCATTGATTACGGGTAGATGATTAAAATTCTGGTGAGAAGCCGCGATCAATGAACTTCAACAGAGTTGGAAGTGAGATAGTTACTTTCCGATGACATCCTATTTTGGTTTGAAACTTAAATGACTGAATTTCAACTCAACGCTTGGTATGAGACCTAACAGTCTTGGATTCAGTCGTTGACAGAGTCGTGAGTAGGTACTAATGATGCTGATTCAATACGAAAACCGTCTCAAAATAATGGCTAAAACTCTAAACCACTTAACCAAGAAATATTACTAATAAATTAGTTAATAAACTATAGAAAAACCATTTTAGTGGGTGTTTATGGACGTAACCCAGTAATCGAGTCCAGGTTTGTGAACTTTCCGACTGGTTGTATAAATTAAAAAATGTGAAGCTGAACTTCAAATTAAAAGTTAATAATTAACAATAAAACACTTTACATAATAAGCAATCACTCCGCTATGAAATGTCAACAACTGTTACAAACATCATACTGTGGGTGAGCTAATATGCGAACGAACGTAAGTAATACGCAGCAGGAATCGGAAGTAGAATGCTTACCAGCAAAAGATCGAAATAAAAAGGAGGAACAAAAACAGAGAGCAATCGGAATAACAACAGGATTGGAAGAATGGAGTATTTAAAGGATAACTCAATGGAAATTTGCAAATAATGTATTTAATGTGTAATTTCCATATTTTACAAAGGCATTGTGTAACTTAGCATAAAATAATAAACTGGCTTTCCCCACCATATTTTCGTTCATTGCAATACTATTAGAAATACTCAAACAAATCTAACAGCTTTCTAGCTTACCCGATAAACAGAATCCACTGATACAGGACCTGATTTAGTAGAACTTCCTGAGATCTGTGGTGAATGTGTCACTTGACAACTGTACACAGGTTGTGCAAACTGATGTGGTTGGATAGTTGGTTTAGCCATGGCAACCAGGGTAGGTGTTGATGGTAAAACGCTGCGACATCCAGACACTACAGAATTTAAACTGGAAGGATTTACTAGACTACTCATACTGACAGCAGTTGATGTAGTCGACGAGACAACCGAAACTGGAGTAATCATTACAGATGAGAAAGATGAAGCGAGTTGCTGCTTACGTGCTCTCTTTCGACTGGGCTGAGAAAAAATAGATGAAGTCGGGAGGCGATGAGAACTAATGCAAACAGAGTTATTCTGAGAAAAATTTGAACGGGTATGAGATATTGAAGAAGTTGAAGCAGATATTGATGGTTGTAAAGGAGTTAATTTGGCTGGAGCAATATTGACCGGTAAAATATGCGGTACCACAGATGTGCTGGACGAGGTAGCAGATAATCCCGTGTTTCCGCTTAAGTTGAATGGTTTTAAAAGCGATGTAGGACCCATAACCGTACTAGTATTTGGTACATATCCAACTGCTGAAGGTCCACTAGCCTATATGTCACAGAAAAATTTAAAAGTTAATCAGGTATAAACCATCGACAATTAACAAAGTATTGAAGGTGTGTGTGTGCGTAACTTTCATAGTTTGTAGCTATATGCTAACGATATTCTGACAGCATCCAATGTAATAATACTGTTTCAACACAGAGGACTTTTACATTCTATTGGTCGTTCAGTGTTATAGTAACGGAAATAATCAGTCAGTCAGCTACAACGTAAGACCAGGCACACACACATCCATCGGTACAAGTTGCCACACCTCATTAGCACAAGCTGAACACAAAATTCATAGTAGATTCAATGGTGGTAATATATAAAAGAAAGATTGCATATTAGGATATAGTGTAGGAAGAAAGAATAATTTGGTAGAAAGATATAATCCCATAGTTTAAGTGAAAACACAGAGTGCATACACCTACGCCATTGTGATCGATTTTGAGCCATGTTACGCAGTCTCTAACCATTGGTTACGATAATCAAGCAGACTCCAACCAAGTTGTCTGCATCTAACAACATGGCTCAGACCAGAAGTTAGTGACTTTAAGCACTGATTCCACGTTTTGGTTTGGCCGCCTCTAACTTTCCTCCAACCCACCCCAACACTAGTCAGGATTGTGCGTCATGATAATCGGTGTACAGACATACGTATAAAAGTGATTGCTTTTCCTGAAATATTTCAAGTCAAATGGGAAACGGAAGCCGAGCTCGGGTTTTATTTTTGTTGGTATCAATTGACAAGACACATTTTTAACCACTAATGGAATCTATTTTTGCACCACTATTAATTCGTACGATCAGATGTAACACTGATTGGCACCTCCTCCCGACCGTTGTTGCTACCTTGACGTGGTGGTCGGGCTTGCCTATCGTGATGAAGCAACCGAGCTATACTGGCTGGAACAACCGTTCCTCAAGGTCCTACCATGTCAGACAGGTCGGTTGAAGAGCGGTAAGACTAAAAGCAACAAACCCAAGGTCCGAAGGCGAAGTCGTACTGCTGACTGTACAGAGGTGTGACAGCAGTAAGGTGTTTCCTTCAGACAACCAGCATGACAGCGATGCTGCCTTCCCACAAGGAGGGGTGGGGTTAGAAAAGGTCGACCCTAAAAATGCACACCTCACCTTACCTCACGGATTTCCGTCTCCGGCGGTAAGGCCCTTTGAAGAACGGAGCTAACACGTCAAATACCTCCCACGAAAAGGCCGTGCGCGACCGGCCTCAAGCAGTTGTCCCTTGGGCACTGCGGTCACGCTCTCAGGTCACTGAGACCACCTCTAATCCAATTTCCTTTTCAGGTACCTCCAGAAGAACCCTTCCTCGGTGTGGGCAACCGGGAAGTGATAACCTCCCTCATACCTCTAACAGCACCCAAGACCACTGTATTCATAATCAATCTTCCTCTTCAATTCCTATTATTCCTCCTACATCGACTTTCAACCCTAAACTTCCTCCTTCGGCTTCCTCCTCAAGTGTCACCATAGCCAACGATTCTAGTGCTCAAAACTCTGTCCCAGGTCTACTGAAACCTCGCTCCAAACTACACATTGGAGCTCTCAACGTACGCACTCTATGTCAAATCGGTCAGCAGGCTTCCTTGGCTAAAACCCTAGAGTCTCTTTCCATTGATGTATGCTGTGTCTCCGAAACACGCATACAGGATTCCAGTGTGGTCATTCACTTGACCTCACCTCGGCAAAACGGATAGCCAACGAGATACACCCTACGTGTATCTGGTGACCCGATGGCCAGTTCTCGTGGATCCCCGTCAACAGTCGTCTATGTGCTGTTCGGCTAAACGACTCCGTAAAAAGTCGGAAGAATAGGGACACACGTCGTTGCCTTTTCGTCGTTTCTGCCTACGCTTCCACTGACTGCAGCTCAGATGATGTGAAAGATGAATTTTACAGAAAGCTGTCCGAACTTCTTCAGAAAGCTAAACGTTCAGACATAGTACTCATAGGGGGTGACTTTAATGCTCAGATAGGTAGCTTAAACCAAACAGAAAGGCATTTAGGTGGATATTTTAGTATTCCAGCACAGCGAACAGATAATGGTGACCGTCTGCTGCAACTGTGCTCAGACAATCGCTTATTTTTAGCAAACACAAATTTTAAGCATAAGAAGAGACATCGTCTAACGTGGCGACCGCCTGCACCAAACCAACGATGGACTCAAATAGACCATATTGCCATCAGTCATCGTTGGAGAGGGTCGGTACAAGATTGTCGCTCATTCTGGAGTACCTGCTTGGACTCCGACCACGCCCTAATACGGGCACGCATCTGCTTGCGCCTCACTGGACGCAAAAAAGCCACAGTAAAAAGACCCATTAGAACCGAACTGAGTAGCGAGGAAACCAAAAGTAGGTTCCAAGAACAACTGAGGTCACGATTAGGTAGTTCTGAAGACGAGGCTGACCCAGATGTTGCTTGGAATGAATACAGGCAGCTGTGGAAACAGCAGTGACATCTATTAGCGACTTAAACCACAGAGTTTCAAAGAACCAGTGGATTTCTTCAAAGTCTATCACACTGATGGATTCTCGCAAACTCGTCCCATCAGGTTCCGAACATGATAAAGAGCGACAACAAATCAGATCTAGGTTAAGAAAAAGTCTAAGAAACGACCGTGAGCAGTGGTGGGCAACGAAAGCAAAAGAGATGGAAAAGGCGGCGACTATAGAGAACACAAGACAGCTTTACAGGCTAATAAAAGAAACTGGAATTAATAAGTCAAGTGTGAGATTATATCAGAAAAAGACGATACTCTCATCTGCTCCCAGTCCAAGCGTTTAGAACGATGGGCGGAACATTTCAGAGAACAGTTCAGCTGGCCTTCAGCTACTCTACAACTACCCTCCATTCCCAGACAGTGTGAATGGAACATTGAAGTAGGTCCCCCAACTCTTGCTGAAGTTCAAAAGGCTATAGTTAATCTGAAACGAGGAAGGGCAGCTGGTCCAGATGGACTGGCTCCAGAGGTCTTTAAGGATGGTGGTCCAATTTTAGCGATTAGGTTGACTAATATTTTAGCTAAGATCTGGGAGTTAGACGTTATTCCATCTAACTGGTCACAATCACTTATCGTCCCAATATATAAGAAAGGGTCAAAATCATCCTGTGACAAACACAGAGGGATTAGTTTAACTAATATAATATCTAAAATACTAGCCTCGATAATTATCAGACGCCTAACTAAGACTCGTGAACTGCAAACACGAGAGAACCAAGCTGGCTTTAGACCTGGTCGTGGCTGCATCGACCACATATTCACCATTCGTCAGATTCTAGAACACAGGCATACTTATCGGCATCCGACAATGGTAATCTTTCTTGACTTAAAAGCAGCATTTGACTCGGTAGACCGCGAGATTCTGTGGCAGTGTCTGTCATTGAAAGGTGTACCCCAGAAGTACATAAACCTTGTAAAGGCTCTTTACTCGAACACTACTAGTCGAGTCAGAGCTTATGGCGAACTGTCATCTACTTTTGCAACCTCAAGTGGTGTCCGTCAAGGCTGTCCACTTTCCCCATTTTTGTTTAACTTCATCATAGATCTACTGATGGAAATAACTTTCTCATCGACTGAGTTCTCGGGTATTGATCTCCATCCAGGAGGTCCACTTATCGACTTAGAATACGCAGATGACATAGTCCTGTTTGGTGAAGACGCTGACAAAATGCAGTCTTCTGGTAGCACTGAGCAACAATGCCAGGATGTTTGGAATGCGCTTCTCTCCCTCTAAATGCAAGTTGTTGCTTCAGGACTGGTCTGCGTTAACACCTGAACTAAGGATAGGGAGTGAAGTAGTCGAACGCGTTGACAACTTCACTTATCTTGGAAGTCTGATCAGCCCTAATGGGTTGGTATCGGACGAAATCTCAGCACGGATTCGAAAAGCTCGATTGGCTTTTGCCAACTTGCGTCACCTATGGCGAAGGCGAGATATCCGCCTATCAATAAAAGGACGAGTATACTGCGCGGCAGTCCGTTCTGTTTTAATTTACGGCAGCGAAACATGGCCATTAAGAGTAGAAGACACTCGTAAGCTATTAGTATCTGACCACAGATGCCTCAGAAATATTGCTGGCATCTGCTGGGATCACCGGGTAAGTAATAGTGAGGTTAGACGCAGGGTATTAGGGAATGATGGTAAATCAGTTGATGAGGTTATGAATCTTCATCGACTGAGATGGTACGGCCACGTGTTACGTATGCCTGAACACCGACTACCACGACGTGCAATGCTATCCGGTATTGGAGATGGTTGGAAGAAAGTTAGGGGCGGCCAAACCAAAACGTGGCATCAGTGCTTGAAGACACTAACTTCTAGTCTGAGCCATGTTGGTAGATGCAGACTACTTGGTTGGGGTCCGCGTGACTTTCGTAACCAATGGTTGGAGACTCTTGGTGACATGGCTCAGAATCGATCACAATGGCGTCGGTGTATACACTCCCTGTCTTCCCTTAAACTAAGAGATTAAAATCGCTTCATATCTTTCTTTCTACGAACCAATTCTTTCTTCTTGTACTATATCTCTATATGCAATCTTTCTCTTATATATTACCACCTCTGACCTAACCACTGCTGTGAATCTGGTGTTCATCTTGTTGTGCTGATGCGGTATGGCAACGTGGACCGATGCACATATGTGCCTGGTCCTACGTTGTAGCTGACTGACTGACCTCCCACAGAGTGACTAACTTAACATATATCTTAAACAGAAATACATCTAGAAAGGAACCTAAAACTTAGTTCAAACTTCAGAAATCATATACCTAATGATAGATTACATAGGACTTGTGTTGTAACTACACGAAAGTACCACCCGACAAAATCAACCGCATGTTGTAATATTGGGTACAATAAAAAAAACTGATCACAAAATTCGGTTGATGTGCAATCGACAAGACACAGTCTAAGAATCTAGTGTTATATAATGAGAAGATATAAAGGTAATACAATATTTTCAACTCCAGTCTATGGAGAATTTCTATTTGATAACTAAAATATGATTGGTCACTTACACGAACAATTAGTGGAGAAGCAGGACTGGAAGAATTTATTTGCCGGACAGGATTTGTAAGCATTCCTGTAACGCTTGTACATGTTGTAGGAGTACTATGAACATTTGAATTTGCCAAGTTGAAGGCCAGCACTGTATGATTAGCTGCACTCAAGGGTAAAGATGGACCTGTATTTGATGAACTTCCAGAAAAACTTCGAAGAGACATCATCAAACTTGGATTTAAAGATGAAGAAGTTGCTATAGTTGACTGAACAGGTAAGTCAGATTGAGCTTGAACAATCAAGGATTGTGAAGACTGAATGGCAACAACATTACCACTGGAAGGAGACATGAACGAAACATTAGGATTCACTGTCAACCCTGACCATACACTACCTGTATTTGCTATAGATGGCCGAGTTGAAAGTGCTACAGTCTGAGATAAGGATGTCGGGAAAGCTAAAGCACTATTTCCAGAAGTGGATACAGTGCATGTGGATTTAGTAGTCGTGCAAACCGTAGATGGAGGTGTAATCAAACGAACAGTAGCAGATAGCGGTGTGGTAAAATTAACCAATTTAGCTGTAAGATAAAGGTATAAATAAGAATTTATTATTCTTATATATTATCACACTTTTCTGATATTTTTAACACAAATTATGGACCTATGTTCTTATATTAACCACCGAAAAGCAAATGAATGTTTTGAAAACCGTCATATATCCAACTAACTTTCATAACAACCGATGGAGAATATGGGATTCATGATGATAATGACAGATATTTCAACCAGTAACTTCAAGCAAAACATTTATAGAACCCACCTCAAAAATTGTAATCCAATTTAGTAATAGAGTATGAGTAATTTTTTGCTTTCCGAACCATACTTAGGGTGAGAACTGGATATATAATACCCGGATTTCCAGACTAAGGTACGACAGTTCGAAAATGTAGAGCCCAAGATGGTTAACTACTAAATTGTATCTCCTCTGCTTGAAAAGGTGGTAATATTGAAGTTCCAAATTTTACTTTAAAAATGTTGGGTACGATAGATCCCCAAAACTCATATTTTGTAATTTCATCTAATCGATTAACTTATCGATTAAATGTTCAAATATTTGAATGGCAGTCAATTGATGAACTTATCGATTAAATGTTTAAATAGCAGCCAATTGATGAACTTATTGATTAATGTTTAAAAATTTTCCATGACAATATCGATTATAAATATTTGTATAAATACTCTTGATTTGTGTGCTTGACCTGACTTGACTTAGTATCTGCTGTTTGCCTGTAGAATACACTTTCTACACCTTACGAAGTCTTCTTGATCGAGTTAGCTGAGTCGGGGACAACGAACCAGAATAGCCTAACGAGTCTCTGAATCCTGATCCTTCGCTCCGTTCCGAATAAGCCGAATCAGTAGTAGCATTCAAGCTTAACGAACATAACAAAAAACACTAGTACATTTCTTCATTTTTTTTCAGGTATCTAAATGATAATTTTCACATTAATTTTGTAAAATGTTGAGTGTAACAGACGAACAACCTTTGATAACTGATATTGTTTGATGATAAAACATGTGAGTAATCGGAACTACATTCACGGAGAAGTGGCTTTATGATCAGTGCGTTTAACTTCCGGTTAATAATTCCTAGATTCGAACGCCACCCCATTTACTTCAACTTGGGCAACAGGGTAACATAATAACTCATCACAATCAAGGTGCTTGATGAATGAATTTTTAGAAGTGTTTACATAAGCTTCATATTCAAAGGCAAAAGTTTACGGCATTTCCTTTTTTAGACAAAATAAGCTCTGTACAGTTTGTTTACCGAAACCTAAGTTTTACATAAAAACGATATCATATACAGGTTTGTGGTTTACGAGTAATTAATTCCTTTTTTCACTCATCTTACTTTCTAAACTAGAAAAGATTGGATCATATTTGTCAACTAGTGATTAGTATGGTTCCCAGATAAGCTATTTGGTATCCACATATTAAGGTGCATCTGAAACCCTGTAGACATTTAAACCCATATTAAGAGACATTATCGTCAAGTTACGCAGTCCGAAAAAATTGAAATCTGTAGAAATTAAGGGAAATACTAGACAAATATAGTTACTTTTTGATGTTTGTGGAGACTGTGTATTTACTTGATCATGGAAAATGATAGCGGGATTCGATAAATTGGTGAAACTGGAATCGGATGTACTCATCTTACTGGGAGATACAGTAGTAATTGAAGTTGTTGGATTCTCTATCAAAGATGGTGGGTTTGAAAGGCTTTGAGGTTTGTGAATAAGTACGCGTGGAGTTGAGCAGAGAGTAGAACTCATGAGCAAACTTCCAGATACAGAAGTCGGCGCAGGGAAATTTATGGCAGTTACACAATGTGATCTTTGAGACTGGAGTGGCAACGTAACATTTGTTGTAGGAGTTTCAAACACTAGTGGGCAGGCACTTGAATTCACTGTTGCAGTTGTAACCATAGCGCTACATTGGGTTGACGTATGGGTTGCGAATCTATAAAAGGAAAGCAACAGAAAACAAAGATGAAAACTGCTACAATATTTCCAACTAGCTATCAAGCAATTCACAATGAAAACCTCTAAGGGCATACATTTACGGAAACAAGCGTCGAATAGTAGATAAATGCAATTCGCATTTGTACTGAAAGTGTTATAAAGGGTAAAATACCCAACTTAATTACGGACTAGCTGTCTATCAGATTCTTTTTAAATTAAGCCCAACTCGCTGAAAATTTTCAGTAAGCGCAGGGTTAAAAATAGTAGACTGTTTGATAGGTGATCAGTGTAATGAACTGGTACTCAGTGTTTATTAAAACTTGACACGTAATTTATGCAATGGGAATGCTGAGCTCAGTTATGGATCACAGACAAACATTTTATAGGATGTTCCAAAGCTAGTTTCATATGAACAAATAAACATAATCAAACAGTATTTATTGTCCCATAATACACTTGCCTATTCTGGATAATTTAGTAAAGGTAACATTAGCCATAATTCTGAAAAAGATTGTTAGGATACTCGAAGTATTAGATTTTCCAGAGGTTTGGAAAATGAGTATTGATTACAGCTTTAGAAGGAACATCTCCAACCAGCTAACACTAAACACAATGCATTATGATATCCAGCCACTCAGACCTGTGACTAAACTGTGGCTTGTTCAACACTGTAGATTATACAATGTCGAAGTCTGTCGCAACTCAAAGAACTTAGTAAGTGTCTCACTGTGGTAAGGGTCTGAAACCCATGGAGGGAAGCAATGCCATTAGAATCGAAGAGGCATCTTGTAAAAGATTCCCTGAATGAAAGGTAGGTTTGCAACTGATTGCCTAGTCATCTAACATCAGAAATTTTAGATACAGTTAACTGGTCTACCCCGACCTTCATAGAAACAAAATCTACATCCGAGACATATTACATATTAACATACTACCACCAAAATAATTATGATAACAATACAAAAGATGAAAAACTGAGGCCATTGAATACACAATGTATGCCAACAAAAAGCTGTGTAAGATATTTGAGCTCCGGTACGCCTTAAATAGCTATAAAATATGAGCCCTATTCCCATTAACACAGAAAACGTTTACCTTCTTAGCAGTAAAACACTATCAGCTTTGGTGGTATTTTACAAAAACTACTGGAAAAAAATTTTAATATTGAAAAAAATGTTTAAAATATGTAGTAATACATTTTATTAAAGGCATTAATGTCACGAAGTGAGCAAACCTTAAAGCAAGTGTTGGTTGTATATGGTTTGGAGCCTGTGGAGATATGACAACAGAAGCTACTGACGGCGATGTGGAACAGTTTTTATTGATTAACGAAGCAACTAGTGGGGTGGAAGCTGTCGTAACACCAGATGTACCTAGCCGTGATGGACTGTTTAAAACATTCGGTACGGACAAACAAGATGCAGTAGTTGTGACACTTGGGTGTAAAAAGATACTTTGACTTGATGCTGATGCAACACTAGAGCTTCCTGAATAGTTCCCCAAGTGAAGTTGTAGTGGTGTCGGTGCACTTGATGTTGACGGAGGCAATGTAGATGCGGCAGCCAATATCAAAGGGAAGAACTGATTGGTAGAATTAATGGGAGATGAAACTGATGTAGCCGACATATGTAAACTAGAAGCATGTGGTAGAGGCGTATTGGCACCAGATGCAGTGGTGAGAGCAGTAGGTTGTATTATTGTTTGATTTATCAGACTAGACAGAGGTTGCTGAACGCTAAGCAATACACGTGGGAAAAATGGTACTGTTTTGGATGAATTGGAAGAAGGGTTTTGCAGAATGGAAGTACATATATGAGTTGGACGATCTGGTTCTAGAGGGGAATTCATAAAAATAGGCAACCACTAAAAAACTACATGGTAAGGATATGAGTATGATCAAATTATTTGTTTATGGATAGTATAATTCAAAAAAGAAACTCCGATAACTACTAATGAGAAATGCACCAGACGTAAAAAGGGATATATATATATATATATATATATATATATATATATAACTGGTTCTTAAGGTAAACTGTTATTACGTTTGGTAACTGTTTAGTTTTATAACCAAACCCTAAATGTACAATTCTTTACAAATTAGAGCATTTCGCAAAACGCGTGCGAACTATTCCACTAAGAGCCATGCTTACCAATATAAGTAGGAAGTGGAAAATGAATGTATAACAATTTCCTTTATTACATACTTCACAGACAAGGGTAGAGTAATGAACATAATGTGACCAAATTAACTTCAATTTATCTTACGTCCCAAATGACAGTATTCATAACTCACAATAAGGCGTGAATTCCTTAACTGTAACTATTTAGTTATCAAGCAACAACTACATAAATCCCTAAATTATGCTCGGAAGTGCTTATATACCACAGATAGTGATAGAGCCTTGGATGAATAGATTTTAATGAGTTCAAGCAAAGGCATGTTCATCCAGCTGACAAGCCCTTAATGGAAACCGTACCGAAGAGCAACACAGGGCATATTACTATATAGGAAGGATAAGAATAAAGCTTAATGGGTGGTTGTCAGTTCCACTTCCTCATAATTAGCCTACGGAACCTGTATTTTCCGATCATCTATGCTACGATGTTTTCCATGTTTATTATGTCCAGTGTTTTCACTTGTAACCAGACCACTTTGCAAGAAATAGCCCTATTTTTATTGCCGAGTTGTGTTGATTTGTTAATGATTAATTTTGAGCTCGTGTCAATGGTTCAGTCTTGTGACCAGCTATCAGTCGGTCATGCTACAATATAACCCATCGATCAGCATTGTTTCTTTTAAAACCCGAATTGGTTTGCAACAAATCGTAAGACCATCAAGCACAACGCTTCACAGTATACTTTCCTTTTGATAGATAGAGCCAACAGAAGACTTGGTCTGACTGAGGGATAAGTTAGGATTCCGACCATGATGTAATGCAATCAAGCGTTTATCAGCCTTAGTGAACACAAAAGGATTTTGATCTTAAAGCCGAGTCTAGCTCAGCTTGGTGTTTGTGGTAACGTTAGTTGCAACAATTAGTTTGATGCAAAAAATGTTTATACCAAAAAAGCCCAATCTAAGTTAATCATAAATAGGCGATGTTTTTTGACAACCTTAGCCAGAAGCTTAGGAAAGACCGGTCGGTTCTTGAGGTTACTGCTTGACTAAAAGATGTTCGGAAGAACATCTCGGAGTGTTCAGAACACAACGAGCGAAAGAAACCTAAATCTAGACTTTAAAAAGTGTGGGTAGTGATTAGAAGTGGTGGATGATGAAAGTGAAATGGATGAAAGAAGTATAGGCAATAGGCAGATACTCAGACTCAAAAAAAGGTGAGCGCCAAGATATTGGTAGCCATCGTGTTAAAAGACGATGTTAGGATTCACTTTCAGATTAGGCGATTAAGGAGTAGTTTAACTGGTATGTAGTTAATCTACGGTTCTTCATTACTTAGCACCCTGAAAATATTAACCTGAAGCCACTGGAGCTTAAGCTTTAAGGAGTATGACATAAAGCGAGAGAGAGAGCAGAAGGACTTGACGGAATAACTTCGGAGGTTTCTAGAGAGTGATTAAGAAATATCATTAGAATCGGCTGGTAATAACTGAGACTTGGCAGTCGTAATAATTCTATACGACTTGCTATAAAAGCTAACAGTGATAGTTTAAAAAGTACAGGAATTGTCCTGTAATGACCACATAAGGATAAGTTGAACTAATGTTTAAGATACTAACTTCAATAATTTGGAACCTAACCGAAGCTAGAGAACAGGAAGCCGCGAAACATCAAGTAGGTCACAAATATGGTCGTGAATGTGTAGGTTGAGCATTCACTCCAATGTTTCTGAACATGAGAATAAAGATGGCGAACGCAGTCACCTATTTTGAGTTGAGTTGTTAGCGGGACATAGATTAGATCAAAGTATGCTTTGATTTTTTTGGGTGGTAGGACTTAAACCTGCCCCCAAATGCCCTGGTACGGTCGAGAGTGAGGAGAGTCCGCCCTCCCTCTCCAAATGTTCTCACATGGCCATGCGTATATAGCCTCTACCAGGGAAGTCCTACTCATTACCTTCTCGTGACGGGGGTGTTGTTTACGAAATTAAGAGGACGAAAAGCGAATGTCCGGCGCTTTAACCGGGTCAGTGGACATGGAGAGTCCACCTAGGGGAGTTGGAAAACCTTAATTCCAAACCAATAGTGCACATGGGCTACAGTATCCTGAGTGAACAAATGGCGTATGAACCAATCGTTGGTCACCGACTACCATGGGACTGCATCTCCTTACGATGCTCCACTGACTTGTGGATCAGACTTTCAGGTCGAAGGCTCCGGGTGTGGCCCCCTAAGAAAGCCACCTGCTTCTGTTTGGGCACCCGGGCAGTATCACAGCTGTCACACAAATCAAATGAGATTTGTGTGGCCCATATGTATTTGGTGCCTCCTTCCTGACCGTTGTTGCTACCTTGACGTGGTGGTCGGGCTTGCCTATCGTGATGAAGCAACCGAGCTATACTGGCTGGAACAACCGTTCCTCAAGGTCCTACCATGTCAGACAGGTCGGTTGAAGAGCGGTAAGACTAAAAGCAACAAACCCAAGGTCCGAAGGCGAAGTCGTACTGCTGACTGTACAGAGGTGTGACAACAGTAAGGTGTTTCCTTCAGACAACCAGCATAACAGCGATGCTGCCTGCCCACAAGGAGGGGTGGGGTTAGAAAAGGTCGACCCTAAAAATGCACACCTCACCTTACCTCACGGATTTCCGTCTCCGGCGGTAAGGCCCTTTGAAGAACGGAGCTAACACGTCAAATCCCTCCCACGAAAAGGCCGTGCGCGACCGGCCTCAAGCAGTTGTCCCTTGGGCACTGCGGTCACGCTCTCAGGTCACTGAGACCACCTCTAATCCAATTTCCTTTTCAGGTACCTCCAGAAGAACCCTTCCTCGGTGTGGGCAACCGGGAAGTGATAACCTCCCTCATACCTCTAACAGCACCCAAGACCACTGTATTCATAATCAATCTTCCTCTTCAATTCCTATTATTCCTCCTACATCGACTTTCAACCCTAAACTTCCTCCTTCGGCTTCCTCCTCAAGTGTCACCATAGCCAACGATTCTAGTGCTCAAAACTCTGTCCCAGGTCTACTGAAACCTCGCTCCAAACTACACATTGGAGCTCTCAACGTACGCACTCTATGTCAAATCGGTCAGCAGGCTTCCTTGGCTAAAACCCTAGAGTCTCTTTCCATTGATGTATGCTGTGTCTCCGAAACACGCATACAGGATTCCAGTGTGGTCATTCACTTGACCTCACCTCGGCAAAACGGATAGCCAACGAGATACACCCTACGTGTATCTGGTGACCCGATGGCCAGTTCTCGTGGATCCCCGTCAACAGTCGTCTATGTGCTGTTCGGCTAAACGACTCCGTAAAAAGTCGGAAGAATAGGGACACACGTCGTTGCCTTTTCGTCGTTTCTGCCTACGCTTCCACTGACTGCAGCTCAGATGATGTGAAAGATGAATTTTACAGAAAGCTGTCCGAACTTCTTCAGAAAGCTAAACGTTCAGACATAGTACTCATAGGGGGTGACTTTAATGCCCAGATAGGTAGTTTAAACCAAACAGAAAGGCATTTAGGTGGATATTTTAGCATTCCAGCACAGCGAACAGATAATGGTGACCGTCTGCTGCAACTGTGCTCAGACAATCGCTTATTTTTAGCAAACACAAATTTTGAGCATAAGGAGAGACATCGTCTAACATGGCGACCGCCTGCACCAAACCAACGATGGACTCAAATAGACCATATTGCCATCAGTCATCGTTGGAGAGGGTCGGTAGAAGATTGTCGCTCATTCTGGAGTACCTGCTTGGACTCCGACCACGCCCTAATACGGGCACGCATCTGCTTGCGCCTCACTGGACGCAAAAAAGCCACAGTAAAAAGACCCATTAGAACCGAACTGAGTAGCGAGGAAACCAAAAGTAGGTTCCAAGAACAACTGAGGTCACGATTAGGTAGTTCTGAAGACGAGGCTGACCCAGATGTTGCTTGGAATGAAATACAGGCAGCTGTGGAAACAGCAGTGACATCTATTAGCGACTTAAACCACAGAGTTTCAAAGAACCAGTGGATTTCTTCAAAGTCTATCACACTGATGGATTCTCGCAAACTCGTCCCATCAGGTTCCGAACATGATGAAGAGCGACAACAAATCAGATTTAGGTTAAGAAAAAGTCTAAGAAACGACCGTGAGCGGTGGTGGGCAACGAAAGCAAAAGAGATGGAAAAGGCGGCGACTGTAGAGAACACAAGACAGGTTTACAGACTAGTAAAAGAAACTGGAATTAATAAGTCAAGTGTAAGTGAGATTATATCGGAAAAAGACGATACTCTCATCTGCTCCCAGTCCAGACGTTTAGAACGATGGGCAGAACATTTCAAAGAACAGTTCAGCTGGCCTTCAGCTACTCTACAACTACCCTTCATTCCCAGACAGCGTGAATGGAACATTGAAGTAGGTCCCCCAACTCTTGCTAAAGTTCAAAAGGCTATAGTTAATCTGAAACGAGGAAGGGCAGCTGGTCCAGATGGATTGGCTCCAGAGGTCTTTAAGGATGGTGGTCCAATTTTAGCGATTAGGTTGACTAATATTTTAGCTAAGATCTGGGAGTTAGACGTTATTCCATCTAACTGGTCACAATCACTTATCGTCCCAATATATAAGAAAGGGTCAAAATCATCCTGTGACAACCACAGAGGGATTAGTTTAACTAATATAATATCTAAAATACTGGCCTCGATAATTATCAAATGCCTAACTAAGACTCGTGAACTAAAAACTCGAGAGAACCAAGCTGGCTTTAGACCTGGTCGTGGCTGCATCGACCACATATTCACCATTCGTCAGATTCTAGAACACAGGCATACTTATCGGCATCCGACAATGGTAGTCTTTCTTGACTTAAAAGCAGCATTTGACTCGGTAGACCGCGAGATTCTGTGGCAGTGTCTGTCATTAAAAGGCGTACCCCAGAAGTACATAAACCTTGTAAAGGCTCTTTACTCGAACACTACTAGTCGAGTCAGAGCTTATGGCGAACTGTCATCTACTTTTGCAACCTCAAGTGGTGTCCGTCAAGGCTGTCCACTTTCCCTATTTTTGTTTAACTTCATCATAGATCTACTGATGGAAATAACTTTCTCGTCGACTGAGTTCTCGGGTATTGATCTCCATCCAGGAGGTCCACTTATCGACTTAGAATACGCAGATGACATAGTCCTGTTTGGTGAAGACGCTGACAAAATGCAGTCTTCTGGTAGCACTGAGCAACAATGCCAGGATGTTTGGAATGCGCTTCTCTCCCTCTAAATGCAAGTTGTTGCTTCAGGACTGGTCTGCGTTAACACCTGAACTAAGGATAGGGAGTGAAGTAGTCGAACGCGTTGACAACTTCACTTATCTTGGAAGTCTGATCAGCCCTAATGGGTTGGTATCGGACGAAATCTCAGCACGGATTCGAAAAGCTCGATTGACTTTTGCCAACTTGCGTCACCTATGGCGAAGGCGAGATATCCGTCTATCAATAAAAGGACGAGTATACTGCGCGGCAGTCCGTTCTGTTTTAATTTACGGCAGCGAAACATGGCCATTAAGAGTAGAAGACACTCGTAAGCTATTAGTATTGACCACAGATGCCTCAGAAATATTGCTGGCATCTGCTGGGATCACCGGGTAAGTAATAGTGAGGTTAGACGCAGGGTATTAGGGAATGATGGTAAATCAGTTGATGAGTTATGAATCTTCATCGACTGAGATGGTTGGGCCACGTGTTACGTATGCCTGAACACCGATTACCACGACTTGCAATGCTATCCGGTATTGGAGATGGTTGGAAGAAAGTTAGGGGCGGCCAAACCAAAACGTGGCATCAGTGCTTGAAGACACTAACTTCTAGTCTGAGCCATGTTGGTAGATGCAGACTACTTGGTTGGGGTCCGCGTGACTATCGTAACCAATGGTTGGAGACTCTTGGTGACATGGCTCAGAATCGATCACAATGGCGTCGGTGTATACACTCCCTGTCTTCCCTTAAACTAAGAGATTAAAATCGCTTCATATCTTTCTTTCTACGAACCAATTCTTTCTTCTTGTACTATATCTCTATATGCAATCTTTCTCTTATATATTACCACCTCTGACCTAACCACTGTTGTGAATCCGGTGTTTATCTTGTTGTGGTGATGCGGTATGGCAACCTGGACTGATGCATATATGTGCCTGGTCCTACCTTGTAGCTGACTGACTGACTGACTGGTGCCTCCTTGTACCAATATCTATGTGTGCAAATAATAAATAATAATAAGGTCTTATACCTTGCATTACCCTAGTCTAAGCTAAGTAATAAAATGAACATAGCGAATTTGGACCGGATCAGTGACCGTAACGTATGGATGCAAACGGGTGACAAAGAATAAATTCAGTAAATGTAGTATGATCATGCTCTGCTTCGCTTTCCTATTAACCCTGAGTTTAGCATTAGTTCATAATCTACATTCCTTAATTTTATTTGAACTATAATCCTCATGTCTTGCTTCCCATCAGACTTGACAGAATTTCTCTCTAGACCCTCATTTTGTTGACTTCCTTTATTAATGTGCTGATTTAAGGCGTGGTAGCTTAGAAAGATATGTATATTTTTCAATTAACTTTACAAGATACTCACTGGACTGGGAAAAATCATCATTGAATAAGTAGGGGTTCAGTTACTCCTTCGAGTGGTCGACATAGCATTACCCCTATTACTGGAAGACCTTAAAATACATATGCACGTCGAAGGCAATACATAAGCGAGCGTTAACACAAATCTAGTGGACGACCATCTCTAAACTAATCTTCTGTTCTACTTCATAAGCCTGATTTACCAATTGTCGCAGTGATCTGTCTTACTCTTTGCTGATTTAATTAAGATTTCGAGACTCATACATCGTATGTCTGATAGGATAATATTATAAGAAGGCCTGGATTCACTAGATGAATGAATAAGCGGGGATTAAAAATCAGTTCTACCAAAAGAGAATGGTGATGAAAAGAACGAACTGTGAAGTTTCATACAAATAAGCAGTAAGTGGAATGGCAATAACCGAAGCAACGGACGATAAAGATTTAGACGTTTTAACTAACAATGCACACTGAACTACGAATAAATATAAGGTTGCCGCTGCCAAAGGCTTTAGCGTCTCATTACCTTTTCGTAAGTCATTCCGATAAATAAATGTTCAGGATATGAGGTGAGACTACAATTAATAGATGAATCAATCTGACCTAAGATTGTGACTCTTGGATATTGGGGCAGAATTCAATTATTTATATGATTAAATCCCCAGTGCCGACTTATGACGCTAACGTCTGATCTCGATCACTCACATCAATTAATAATCCTACTTCGATCGTAGTAAGTGGTTGAATTCCCTCAAGGACGAAGCAATATCGCTCAAAGGTCGTTCATAAATAATAAATTCTCAGGATATTATCAGTCAGTCAGTATGTACGAGCAATATTTCGAAGACACCTATGATCAAATACTAGTAACATACGAATATTATCTACTCATACCGGCCATGTTTCACTGCCATAAAGTAGGACGGAACGAATTGCTGCACAGTAAACACGTCCTTTGGTTGATAGACGGATATCTCGCCTACGCCATAAATGACGCAAGTTGGTAAAAGCTGGTCGAGCCTTCTGTATCCGTGCTGAGATTTCGTCACACACCAGACCACAAGAGCTGATGAGACTTCCAAGGTAAGTGAGGCGGTCGACACGCTCAGGATTTTATACCCAGCATTTGTAAGACTCCATTTGCTATATGACTCAGAGTCCTTATTTCAGATATGAGGCGGGTATGATAAAATGAGTCAAATGGCGAGTGACCAGAATGAAGAAAAGTTTCGCTGACCGACCTTATGAAGAAAGACCTAGACGCCCCAACCTATTTCCGTTATCGCAGGTTACGACGTGGTTCAGTACCGGCTTACAGCATACAGAATGGTGATTTCGGCATTAACATATCTTGTTTTCTCTTTATATCCAGAACTGTTGGCCATCTGAGAGGACATTCGGAGAGACTATAATTTATGGAAGAACCAAACACGTTTAGGATAACAATTCTTGGATTTCGGCGCGAAATTCACTTACCCGTTTGACCAAATAGAGTTTTGACACTTCAGGTGGTTAGTTCGTGGTGAAAACACGGAGTTTAATTTCTAACCCTAACCGTCAACCGTAAATATTAATTCCGATTCGCACTAGTTTATAACCCCTGTTTGGCCCTAGTAGGTAGATGAACGTTCTCAGGGTTACTTTAGCGTCGCTAACAGATCACCCATAAATTAGTCTCACCGAACCCCCTAACAGGACGCTTAATATATGCACCTGTCGGTACAGTGAAAGTGAAGTCCGGACTTTGCAGTAGTACAAATACCGAAAATTAGTAAGGATCGCTTGACCTCTGAAGACTGAAAGCTTCCACCATATATGACTTGATGTAAAAAAAAATAGGACCCGACAAACCCATTCGAAGTGAACTTGACAAATGCTTAGCACAGAGTTTTGTTATCTTGAATTATTCTTGGAAGTTGCTTAAATTCAGAATTGGGATTAGACTGTGAAAATTAGACCCAAGAGCAGCTAACAGAACCAGTCGGAATCTACGCAGTCGAATTCAGGCCAACGAAACTTTGAGGCTGATACTACTTTATTCAAGGCAATCGGTATGCTTTGGAACATCAATAAGCTATATATTTCACGTATTACCAGGGAGCGTGTTGTTGAAGGTAAACTACGGAGCTATAGTAAGTCATACCTGGTAGTAAATAGCATACACCAGTCACAAGAACAAATTAAGCTAACTTTAACTAACCTCTAGCTAGTTTTCCAGCTGCTTAAACTTGGTTGATATCGTTGTCAATATCCATAAATAACAGGATGAAGTCACTTCAGTCGGACGTCCATTATTTATGATCCGAGATTCCGCAAACCAAGGGGTAAATGTAATAGAGCAACCTCAACATATAACTTCTTTGAACTGTTAACAGTACGAAGCAACAATCACTGTACGAGCCTTGACGACTCAATCCGATAATACAAACAAATCCCGTCCACAAACATCAGAACCGAAAGCATTTTCGACCTTCACAACCTACTTGAAACAAACAAACAATTCCTTCAACTATCAGACGGTTTCTTGTTCCATCAACTTCTAATTTGAAGATGAAATCACGTATTCCAACACAAGTGCATTGTGTTGTTCTAACTGCCTCGTGTCAATGAACGACATATATTCAGTCTTCAGTTTTCAGTTGTAGCAGTAAATAAATCCCCAAAATAATTAGCACTAAGTTTACGACATTGGATGCTGACCATATGTTTTAGTGGACTCACCTAGCTGAAGGCGCTCGGTCAGGCATCCGCACCAGATCACGTGTGGTAACGCCGTGCTCAACATCAACCGCAATCGCTAGCCAGATTAGATCAGAGAATTCCGATATATTGGTCATCGCCAAATACACTCTTCCGATCTCCTCGACTCTGTCTTTTGATTTCTCTGGGTGGGAACGAAATATATTAGAAGGTGTTACTGGTAGAAGCGTTTTCAAACACTGAATGCCTGTGACATCCTCATTGGTGAGACCGACGTGATCTGGTACACCTAATTGCAACTGTGAGTCTGTTCCTTTTTGGGATTTTTATATATCATTGCCTTATTTTTTTTTTTTTTAAACATTGTGATTTTTTTTCGTGTTTTTTCTTGGATATATATATATTTCCCCTGGTTCATTATCGTACTTCATACTTCATCATGACTGAACAGACACCTAAAGTACTCAAGCTTAAGACTTTGTCCCCACCTTCGTTTCAACTGATGCCTTTCTGGCCCGACAACATCGAAGCCTGGTTCTGCTACGCAGAAGCCGACTTCCGCGAGCACGGCGTGATCGACACACGTGCACAATTCCTCGCAGTAGTCAAGGCACTACCGCGCGAATTCAACAGGTACGTAACACCTAGTATGTTTACTAGTGATGTTTCCGATCCTTACGAAATCTTAAAACGCCCGATTCTTAAACGAGGAGACCTAACCGATCGACAAAGGTTAGATCAACTCTTCAACAATATCGACCTGCAACACGGTTCTGCGACGGACATGTTGCAACGGATGAGAGAGGTAATAGGCCCAAGAACTTTCGACGAAGGTCTATTCAAACAACTCTTCTTGTCAAAACTTCCCCAACAGGTGCAAGCAGTTCTGGTCTCGTTCCAGAACAATGCCTTAGACGAGCTAGCTGCATCTGCCGACCGCATATTAGAAATTACGAAATCTACTACCGAGGTATTTTCAGTCAAAGAAAAACCTCAAACGACTCAGAATGATATAAACGACTTATGTCACACACTCACGCGTTATCTTAGTCTTCGTACCGACCGTAAGAGATCGCGCACACCACGTAGAAGCATTTCTCGTAAGCGATCTGTCTCTAGACCACGAGAGACAGATAACCCCGACTGGTGCTGGTATCATAACCAGTATGGAAAGCTTTCCAGAAATTGCAGAAAACCCTGCAATTTTCCCAACACGAAACCGACTGATTCGAAAAGCAATTCGGGAAACTTCCAAGCCGGCACGCGTTAACGGCAACCGTAGCCGGCGAACAAAGCCGTCTGTTATTCGTCACAGATGTGACAACGAGAGTTCGCTACCTCGTCGACACTGGCGCAGAAGTTAGAGTTCTCCCAGCAAATCCTAACGACCGACTTCACGAATCGACTCTAAACTTACAGGCGGCAAACGGAAAACCGATCGCTACGTATGGCAAAAGGTACGTTTATCTTAACGTGGGTTTACGCAAACCCATTCACTGGATTTTCGTTGTTGCTGATGTTTCTATGCCAATCATTGGTATGGATCTTCTACAACACACAATCTGATCATCGACACGCGCGAACGGAGGCTAGTAGACGGAAACACTAATTTATCCGTTTGCGTAACTTCTTTTACTGGTTGCAGAGTATCCCCAGTCACAGTTAAACATATGATAGACCCACTCTATCAGCCACTTCTCGATAAGTATCCTGGGATACAACAAACGCAACCGAGATTACCGTGTGTAACCAGCAACGTTACACATCACATCACGACTACAGGACCACCTGTATTTTCTAAAGCACGACGACTAGCTCCTGAAAAGCTAAGGTTAGCGAAAAACGAATTCGATCACATGATGGACTTAGGAATCATACGACCGTCAAGTAGCCCATATGCATCTCCATTGCACATGGTCCCTAAAAAGGACAGCAACGATTGGCGTCCAACTGGTGACTATCGGCGATTGAACGCGAAAACCATTCCCGATCGTTACCCGTTGCCTCACATTCACGATTTGACAGCTACCTTGAAAGGTACAACTGTCTTTTCGAAAATCGACTTGATTAAAGCGTATAACCAAATCCCTATGGCTACTGACGACATACCGAAAACAGCTATCATAACTCCTTTCGGACTCTATGAATTTCTGCGAATGCCTTTCGGTCTAAGGAATGCTGCTCAAACATTCCAAAGATTCATAGACGACGTTTTTCGAGGTCTCAACTTCGTACACGCGTATGTTGACGACTGTCTAATCGCAAGTCCGGACAGAGAAACACATCTCAAGCATCTGGATCTTGTTTTCGAACGACTACAAAAACATGGCATAACTGTAAACGTTCAGAAATGCCAATTCGGAACCGACTCATTAGACTTTCTGGGACACACTATCGATGCTCAAGGTATCCGACCCCTTAGAACCAAAGTGGCGGCCATTCTGGATTACCCAGAACCGACCACCGTTAAGCAATTACGCACGTTCAACGGCCTGGTAAGTTTCTATAGACGTTTCATTCCCAAATGCGCATTACTTATGAAACCTCTGACCGACCAACTTCGTGGAAATGCGAAATCAATTAATTTGGACGACACCGCACGAAAAGCATTCTCCACAGTTAAGGAACTGATCGCTAAAGCAACAATGCTCGCACATCAGGACACCCGAGCACCCATTAGCATCGCAGTAGACGCATCCGACTCGGCAATCGGAGGAGTCTTACAACAATGGGTTAACAACTCCTGGCAACCCTTGGCATTTTTCTCTAGAAGGTTGCTAGACACCGAATCGAGGTACAGCACATTCGGTAGGGAACTCCTAGCTATGTATTGTGCTGTACGGCATTTCCAACACTACATCGAAGGTCGTGAATTCACTCTTTTCACGGACCATAAACCGCTCACTTTCTCGTTAAGCTCTCCTTCTGACAAGTACTCTCCCCGTGAGTCTCGACACCTGGACTACATTTCGCAGTTTACTTCAGACATTCAACACATCTCTGGAGCAAACAATGTAGTTGCAGACGCTTTATCTCGCATAACTTCCTTGAACAGTTTCCAAGGAATCGACCTTCTTAAACTCGCCGAGCTCCAAAAAGAAGACACTGATCTTCAGCATGAGTTATCGTCCACAACACTTAAACTACGCATCAAACAGATGGGAACAGGTAAGGAAACCTTACTTTGTGACACATCTACAGGTAGGGATCGCCCAATCGTGCCGAAACATTATCGACGCAATGTCTTCAACACATTGCACAAACTTTCGCATCCAGGTGTTCGTGCAACCATCAAGCTTATAGCAGGACGGTTTCGCTGGCCTGGAATGAATAAAGACGTGAGGGAGTGGGCACGCTCCTGTGTAAGCTGCCAAAAATCTAAGGTTATCAGACACAATAAATGTCCCTTAGGCCCATTTAAAACTCCCGATGCTCGTTTCGACCATGTTCATCTGGATTTGGTGGGACCTTTGCCAGATTCAAATGGATACTCTTATCTCTTAACCTGCGTAGACCGTTTCACTCGATGGCCAGAAGCAGTACCTATCAAGGACATCACTGCTGAAACAGTGGCCCGCACATTCGTCGAACGATGGGTAGCAAACTTCGGCTGCCCTTCAACCATCACTACAGACCGCGGACGTCAGTTTGAATCTGATCTTTTCCGTCGTCTGACCACACTTTTAGGAATCACTCGCTTCCGAACGACCGCCTACCATCCACAAGCAAACGGGTTGGTAGAACGTTTTCACCGACAACTGAAAGCTTCGCTATCAGCTGCAAACGTTTCACAGTGGACCGACGCTCTTCCACTCGTCTTACTAGGTACCCGCAATGCAGTGAAAGCTGACATTGGATACACTGCGGCTCAACTCGTTTATGGAACGACACTTCGACTTCCAGGAGAATTCGTGGATCCTTCGTCCTCTTCAGTGAACATGGATCTAACCTCCTACACGAACAGGCTTACAAACGCAATGCGTTCAGTTAAACCTGCTTCCACTCGACCTCAATCAACTGATGTTTTCGTTCAACCTGACTTACGATATAGTACACACGTTTTCGTTCGTCGAGACTCGCATCGACGACCCTTCGAATCAGCATACGAAGGACCCTTCAAAGTTCTTCAACGAGAATCTAAGTACTATATAGTCGATAAGAACGGAACCAACGATAGCATCAGCATCGATCGCTTAAAAGCAGCGTATTTAGAAGGAAATCCTATCTACGTGGATTTTCCTTCGGTACAATCGAACGACACGACTCCGACACTTATAATACCTCATCCGACAACCAACACACACGATGATACTTTGACAGTATCCGAAAATAAACTTAAAACGACGCGTTCTGGAAGAAGGGTGAGATTTCCAGAACATTTAAACGACTATTGCACGTAAGGCACTTCTCGACATTTTATATTATTTTTTAAAAAAAAACAATTTTAATATGCTTATATATTTTTATTTCTATTTAAAAAAAACAAAACAAAAAAACAATTTTTTTAACTGCTATTACGTG